ACATGTGACCAATAGAGTGTTACCAAGGTGCTTCGATATTTGGGCAGAGTGACTTAGCTTTTGATCCCAGGTGACACATATTCAAACTTGACCTAGAAATCATTAAAACTAACTTTCGGACCAATTTCAATGACATTTGGATAAAACAGTAGCAACAAGAGTGTTTACAAGATTTTTCTATTTTAGCTTCTTTGGTGTAGTTTTTCATTCGAGATTATCCATCTGAGCATTACGTCATCATTACGTAGACAAGCATCCTGACTAAGTGTGATGATAATTGAGTAAAGAAAATGTGACCACTGGAGTGTTAATAATGTTTTTTTCTAATTTTAGCTCCTGTGGCCTAGTTTTTCGTCCAAGATGACCGTTGTCCGAGCTCATACGAATAATTACTGGACAAGCATCCTGGCAAAGTTTGATGATGATTGTACCAAAAATGTGATCTCTAGAGATTTAACGAACAAATGTGGATGGACGACGGACGACAGAGGATGAACGACGGATGACGGACATTCAACGATCCTTAAAGCTCACCCCAAGCTAGCTCAGGTGAGCTAAAAAGCAACATGCCTAAACACATGAAATGAAAAGAAAAATGTTCACTTAATGTCGCTCTGTGTGTCAATGTTATCAAAATTGCCCCAACTCTGAATCTTGCACCAGAACAAGCAAAAAGTCTCTTCTAAATCTTACAAACTTTTACTTTCATCTAAGATGGCGTTTATTATGGCCGCCGATATTATGCAAAACTGATGTCTCATAAGGTTACATTTTGTAACAAAGATATTGCTGTTTTCGAAAAAAAGGTTTCTTAAGCATGCAGGTATTATGAAAAGAAAAGAGAATGAAAGTTACTAATTGCTTAATATTGTTCTTGAGAAATGAAGTGCTATTTATAGGAAAACTTAACACCTTGCGACAAGTGTCTTGGATGCGACACATCATCTTGAAGTGGTAGACATTTATGCCAAATTATATTAAAATCCTTCAATGCATGACAATGTTACAATTTAGAAACTTATGTGTTCCTTCAATTTCTTTCTATGAGCATAAGTACCTTGAAAGTAAACTATTAGAGTTACCTTGATTTTGGATGTAAGAACATGGGTCTTACACACAATACATCATCTTGATGTGGTAGACATTTGCACCAAGTTATTTTAAAACTCTTCAATATTTGACAAAGTTATAGTCCGGACACGAATGTGTGTACCTAAAATCTTTAATTGTGATTGCGTGAACCTTTAAAATATACGTGTGACCTTGTCCTTTGAAGAAGGGACGTGGTTCTTGGATGTGACACAACCTTGTCGTTCGATAGACATTTGTGCCAAGTTATTCCAAAATTCCTCAATGCATGACAAAGTTATAGTCTGGGCATGATTGTTGTGTAAATGGGGACACACAGACGGACAGACGGGCATGAATCTTAGCCCCGACACATTGTCTTGATGTGGTAGACATTTATGCCAAGTTATTTTAAAATCCTTCCTTGCATAGCAAAGTTACAGTCCAGACATTGATGTGTATCTTTAAACTCTTCTCGAGAAAATGAGTACCTTCAAATTATAACTGTAACCGTGACGGTAGGGACATGGGTATAAGACACAACATGTCGTCTTGATGTGGTAGACATTTATGCATAGCTATTTAAAATCCTTCCATGCATGACAAAGTAACAGTACGGACAAGAATGTGTGTACCTACAAACTCCAATTGTGGTAAAGTGAACTTCAAAATGATAGTATGACCTTGACTTTTGAGGTAGGGACATAATTCTTGGATGCAACACATGATCTTGACCATTGAGGTAGGGACATTATTCTTGACGCGACACATTGTCTTGATGTGGTAGACATTAATGCCACGTTATTCTAACTGACACAAATGTGTGTATCTATAAACTCTTACTGTGATAATAATAACTGTGAAAATTGAAAGTGATAGTGTGACCTTGACCTTTGAAGTAGAGACGTAGTTCATGGACGCGACAAATCATCTTGATGTGGTAGACATTTATGCCTAGGTATTTTAAAATCCTTCGATGCATGACAAAGTTACAGTTCGGACACGAATGTGTGTACCTATTAACTCTTATTGTGATAATGTGAAACTTCAAAATTGTAGTATGACCTTGATCTTTGAAATAGACGGACGAACAGACAGTCAGACGGACGGTGCGATTTCAATATGCCGCCCTTCGAAAGCATAAAAATATTTAAACATTTCATAAACAATTTATATGTTAAATACCATGAAAAACATACCTTTTCAGGCTTTTGTCTCAGTAATTAAAAAATAAATTGAGATAATTGAGCCTTAAACAAAATAGGTATATAGCAACCTGTTGTGGAATCCCCGGTTGCGATTGTATTTTGACCCCGAGGGTTTGACCTGGGGCTTCTATAAGCTTGCTATTTACAACATCTCTTTCCTAACGGACAACATTTATTTTTATTTAAGTAACAGTGACCTTGAGCTTGAACCCTGAAGGGGTGGGAGTCCCAAAAAAATTTCGCAACTTTGGGTTTTTACAGCTTGATTATATAAAATTTAATTTTCCCATTATTTCTTTCAAACTTTTTAAATTAAAATTCAACGTTTCTGTATAATCGGGCCACCGGGCCCATACACATATAACATAATACCTAATTATAATATAACAGTAAATTTTTCTGCATTAACTACAAACAATATATCATACAACGATTATTTATGTTTTTTTTTAACCCACTTTTTAGTTTTATACTTTTTTGATTTTAATAAACTTATTTTAAACATAAAAAAGAAAAAATATTTGCTAAAAGACTTGGGTTTTTGAAATTTTTCCCTTTTTAAGTTAAATTTTTCCTTTAAAAAATTTACATAAATTTTTACTTTTTAAAGGTTTTACAGGTTTTTTTGTTTTAAATTATTTAAAACTAACGGGAAACGTAAAAAATAAAAACATTCAAACAAGGACGGGTGCTTAATTTAAATAAAAATTTAAAATTTTGTACCAAATTTTTTTTTTAAACTTTAAACCCCACTTTATTTTCTATTTGACTTTTCTTATCTTTATAATATGATATAAAAAGAATGACAGTGAGGTATAATACTCAAAAGTTTGTAAAATATTTGTTGTTATTTTTCCATGACAATTCTGCTTGTTAAAACACAATTTGTTTGGGGGAAAAACACAAAAAAAACGGTATTTTTGTACTCCTTCTTTTGCATGTCTGTAAAAACCGGTTTAATTGCATGGCTAAAACAGCTAAATCCGAATTGTAAAGAAGGTGAAACATATACCGTTGTCATTAGATCTACATGGAAGATATAATTAAATATGAACTTAAATCAGATTGTTCAAATACTCATACTGTAGGAGTATATAAGATGTTTATCTAGTTTCTATGTTTGAAATTGCATTGCCTTTTTTCTAAGTCTTACCTTGGATTTTTGCAGTTGTTATCTCTAAATGAAACAAGTGGCGAGCATATTTAGATTAGTTGGTATGTCTGTGGACATGTTCTGTACGTCACATTAGTACATCGTTTAAAACTTGATCGATTTAAAACATTAAGAAGGAGTTAAGCTATGGACTATGTAACGTAGTTAAACACATTGACCATGGTCAAAGAGTACTCTTATTGTTTTGAGGTAAAAAAATGAGTTATACTGTGTAAAATTTCCAAAATATACACTTGAATGTAAAATTAGAGCTTTTTCATTAATTAATTATTATTTTCACATCAACTACATTTAAGGAATATTATGGTTTTGGTTATTCGATACACATGATTGTATGAGCATTACTTTCTTTTTTAATTTTGCCCCACTTACCATACCTTAAATACCAAATAACAATAAAAAAATAAATAAAAAGGAGAATTTTTGTATAAAAACACACCCAAAGTGAAATAAACAAAGAAATAATATACTAATATGGCGAATTTTACTTTTTTTCGACTTTGGGGTGAATTTCCCCCATCCTGATTACACAAATAATTTACAAAATTTATAAATTTATAAAATTTACAAATTACAACAGTGTTATGTTTGAATTCAGCAGTTACTTGGATTTTTTTGATAGTTTTTTGAAATACTTATTAAACCTTAAAAAATATGCGATAAAAAACATTTTTCTTGTTTTAATTGCAAAAAATGTTTAAATTCCTTTTTAACGACAAATGGTATAGTTCTTTGCCACACTAGCTATTGTAATAAAATATATACATATGGTTCGCATAAAGCGGTGGCCATACTGTACACCATATTTGATTCTGAAGCGTTGTGAATGCAAAATTTTTTAAAGAGTTCGATTTTTATGCCACCGTAGTCTGCGATGCGTTGGCATAAAGATATTCACTCTGTGTGTGTGTGTGTGTGTGTGTGTGCGTGTGCGTGTGCGTGTGCGTGTGCGTGTGCGTGATATAGATCATATTGTAATGTTAAAAAGGCTCTCTTTAAAAACGACAAGTCCAATTTCAATCAAAGGGCTTCCAAAGTTGTTCAAAGAATGTGACCCTGTGAAATAATAGAAAGAATTAAAAACAAATTTCTTCTCTACATCTAAAAGGCCTAGAGCATAGATATTTTGCACAAGGCTGTGTCTTGCAGTCCTCTACCATGATTGATCAAAGTCCTTGAATAAAACTTGGCCCCGACCCAGGGGTAATGTATTTTCTACATGCATAAGTAAATGTATAGATTGAAAATTTAAAGTTTTTTTTCTCCAAAATTACAGGAGTTGGAGCTCGGATATTTAGATGTTATAAAGTTGTGACTTTATACTTGTTCTGGTGTACGTTTCAGAGTTTAAACAATTATTTTTTTGAAAACATGACCCTCATCTTACAGGCTACTTTCCCTGTTTAAATTTCATCATTTGGCATCTGTTCCATTGAAAACAAGATTGTATTACAGATTTTACTGTTTGTGTAGAAATAAAATTGTGTATATATAAACCAAAAAGAGAAATATTTAGTTTCATCATATTGGATAAATCAAAAGAAACAAACTGTTTTCTGACGTCGACACATTAAATTTTACAGATGATGTGTTTCCGCGATCCGTTTGTGCAGTAACTGTGATTGAATATGTCCAATACTCGTCTAGACCCTTCAAAGTGCATGTGTTTGCTTCAAAGCCTAGCAACAAAATTAAATACTTTTTATATTAAAATTCGCATATGTATAAGTACATAAGTACATAAGTACATATGTCTTTTCATGGTCGTAGTTTCTATTAACGCTACCGATTATATCTGAATTAAAGTGTAATGTAATGCCTGAAGAATCAAACGTTTTCCTCCATTAATAATTTATTTTCTTGCAAGTCTGACACTGAAAAATGTTCATTTGACACCTCAAATACAGCTTTCTCTAGTCCAAAATATTATCCTATTAATAACAGTTCACACACTATGTAAATGTATGATGAAATGATTATGGAGAAGATAAAATGGACACCTCGGAGGTTGCCTAACACAGTCAAATTAGAAATAATTCATGCATAGTTTGACTTGTCTTACCATGGACTGTGTTGTTAATGCAAGCTACTCTCCACCTCTTTATCACCGGCGTATCGTGTATAAATAGTATAGAATTGTAATCTATTTGCATATCTTTTGTAAATCTATAATTGAGTTTTTTTTATAATGACCTACCAGTTACTTCGCAACAATTAAGTTTTTTATTGTTGTTTTTGACATCGACCGGTATAACAAAGTAACGGGTCGGACCAGTGAACAAATCGGGCCGGGTCCATGTAATGCCAATGCTTGTGGAACTAATATTCTTTGCTTTTGGATTCCTTGGTGGATGAGGCTCTATAATTGATAGAATATATAAGATTTTATCGACAATTTTCTCTTTGTTATTTAGATATATAATTTTGTTTCGATTTGAGCATTAAAGAGAAATGAAAATCATCATAATCTTTTTCTAAATGAGTTTCGATTAAATTTTGTGAACTCATGGATGAGATACTTTAATCATTAATTTCATTAATTTGCTCTCTCGAAGACATTTTTATTTACATGTTAGATTTTCAAATATGCTTACAGTTTTATATACTTTTATTTACAGACGTTTAAGTTTTGATGTTCCATTGTTTACCAGCAGCAAACTTTTGTATTTAGAAGGGTGAAAACATCAGCAAATTATGAACAATAAAAGAATATGAGATCAAATTATATAATAAATAAGTTGTTGATTTAACAAAAACTCTTAGAATAAAATAATTAATTTGCAGACACTTAAATATACTTACTAGCAATATCTGTTTGACTTTCTTCCCTAAAAGAGTAGTTACCTACACCTTTTTCAGTGTTAGCGGCAATACTAAACGAATAGTTTCTGTACGGTAATAAATTCTGAACTACAAATTGAGTCATACTTCCTTCAGTTTCATTCGCCCAGGTTGTATTCTTGTCTATATTAGTTGTATTGATTGAATACATAGTAATAATTCCATTTGTTTCACACGGAATTACCCATGTAAGGCTTGCATTACTAGAAGTTGTGATTATTGTTAGGTTTCTAACGACACCAGTACTGAAATTTTTAGAATTGTATTTCTTAATATGAATTGCGATATAGGTTATAAAAAGCAAATAGACAGATCGTCATAAAGACACTTGGCATATAAACAGGAAAGAGAAAGTTAAAATGAAATTTCTGTATCCAATGATTTGTTACTTTGATGACTGTTACTTATTTTTTACTTAATACTCAATAGCTTTACCGCCGGAAGTATTAACCTCAGTTAAAAAGGAAAATAGAACAGCATAAAAAAGAATAACAAATTTGGGTGAGAAAATAAGAAGAAAGATAATGTCACAAAAACTCTAATTTAACATGACAAATAATGTCCGAATTGAAGAGGAAGTAAAGACATGGCCATAGGCGAGTGGTTTAGAAAAATAATCTAAGGATTATTGGGCGCATAGGTTCGTACCCTGCCAGGGGTAAGTCGTTATATCCTTGAACATCCTTGAACATGAAACTTCACAATATTTTATTAGTACTTAGTTTGTTCCAGAAAGTTCCTTTATGGTTACTACTTCCATTACACTCGAACTTAATTTTTTTTGTACAATGTATACCAGGACTAGCTTGGAGATAACAAGACTATATCGCTATACTGTTACAATAAATGTATGTCGCACAATTAGGTATTTCCTTGACAAAACGCATAAGCATTAATACTACAGTAAATTCTGTAAAAACTAAAAGTAAAATGAAACTAAGTGACAAGATAAAGCTCTTCTGGTTTGCAAAAATGAAATAGTTAATACTTACTAGATCCCTTTGTTCTAAAATAGCAATCTTCACACCATGTAACTGCGTCCTTCACCTACTTTGGTGGATGCACTCACCGTAATATTGTAATACCAATACGGACGCAAATTTGACACTTCATGATCAGACTCATTGTTTGTATATATCGTTTCCTCAACTATTTCACCGTCATGAGAATCCCAGCATGTATTATTTATCCATGTATATCTTATTGTATAATTGGTGATAACACCATTTCTATCATCCTCGTCAGGGGGAACCATCGAAATATTAAAGCCTACCTCAGTAGGAATAAGTGTGTTTATAGTTGGAGCTGCTGAAGGAACTGCAATGGTAAAAAGAATCATATGTTAAAATGTTGAGAAAGAAATCATCAGCAGCATCTAAACACAAGGCGTTGGCTAACACTCGGCTTTGTTGCTACATTTAATACACGAGTAAACAAAATGTTGCTTTAGCACAAATAAGAAGAATGTCATATATTTTATCCGTTTCAACTGGATTCATACACACTTTTGCTTTCAACTCAATATTCTTTTAGAAGATACAATATGTTTTTTTTTTATTTTAATTCAGACAAGTCTATATTTATGGAATAAATTTTACATGTGCAAGCGATAGATATAACTAGCATTATCTCAAATCAATTAAAATAAGCTTAGTTTTATGCGAGTAGTAATAAACCGGCTCATGAACAATTACAATATACGTAGATTGTCAGGGAAAATAACAATTGGAGAAACAAAGAAAAAACAATTAACATAGAGAAAAATACAACAGCTTTAATATATGCTATTATAATGATACTGAATTTGGACAAAACAAAAACATTTTAAAATCTTATAATGTACGCGTTTGAATTACGTCAACTTTCTTAAGATAATAACGTATTGTCCTGATAAATGACGCAAATTTATGTTAGATTCAACATATTTCGTAAGTACCAGAAATACAATTTTGAGTTGTTATTTAAATAAATCAATTTCACTTCCATAATATATTGAACTATACATACATTACAGTTTTAAATATGCATTTATTTGGAAAATAAAGAAGTTTAAGTGAATTTAATCATATTTGAGACCAATGTTTGAACAATACTTTCAAAATTAGCAGTCCAACACATAAATGATGTCAATTTATGATGTTAGTGAGTTGTTTATTAATCGTTTAAGTCAATATTTCTGTTTAAAAAAATAAAGTATTTGATGTACATTTGACAATGATTCAAAAGTTATCTAACACTATCAATTATTAACCTTAATCATATTATTGAGATAAATACAAAAAAATAACACAAAAATAAAATCTTGTTTGAAAAAGTTTGACGAATTTAGTAGAATTTTGTGTAAGTTTTAAAGAACAACAAAAAATATATCATCAATAAAGGATGAGCTTTAACAGCCCAACTTTAAACGAGTTGAGAAACAACGATGGTTTTAAAATAAAATCAAACAAAATCAAATAAATGCATATCTAAAAAATGAGGATAATTGAAACAGGTGTCTGTCATATTTGATTAAACAGAAATAGGTGTAAAAAGATCATTTATTTCAATAGGGTATTTTTATATCTTCCTATATACACTTATCTAGATACAATTCTGAACATTTGTGATGTAAGGATGGTCTACCATCCAGATTTGGAATTTTCAAAATTTTATGTTGTTAAAGTACCTTACTGTCGTTAAATTTTTAAAAAAAGAATACCTGTTTAAAAAAATCTTTCAAGACAAAAATAATAAATTGAAAACTGGCTTTTCTTATTGAGACTAGATTCATACTTTGGCACTTGTTAACAGTTGTGGTTTATTCAATGGTACATATATCATTAATACTGTTTGTTTTAAATACACAAATGTATAGTTCTTTAGAATATGCTAATAGGAAAAAAGCAACATTTTCCGATTCTGCTGTAAACATATATTTTTGTGTCTTTCAAATAATTGTCTTAGGGGCTTATGCTGATTTTAAGCATCTAGCGTGATAGACATTGTTAATTTTCATTTATTTCGAGAGCGACTAACGGTAGATGGGGAAGTGTTATTAAGCATTTTAAAAATGGACATTGAATACCAACTGTTTTTTGTGTTATGTATGAATCTTTTGTTGAATCCATAATCTCTGATTCGCCCTCCTCCCCACACATACCAACAGAAGTGCTGTGAAAACCTGGGTGTTATCGGTAGAATAACTTACCATCGCTTTCTGTTTCATTGTTTAACCATGTAAAGCTGCCCCAGCATTTTGTGTATGCTCTGACAGTGACATTGTACTGTCTGTAAGGATGCAATTGTTCAACCACGTCTGCTCTTGGTAAGTTAGGAACAACTTTCATATTATACTGTGCCCCATTGCACTTTTTGAGGTCGCCTAAGCTTACTTCCTGGTTACGAGAACAAAGACAATACGATTAAATGTTAGGAAGGTCAATCAGACTATTTGTTACGACAAAATCATGAAATGCATCAAAATACTGAATATATACTTTTAAATATAAAGGCAATGTATTGCTGGAATAAAACTATGTATGGTATCAATTCAATAAGAATTTACATCAACTTATGCCATGCTTCACTTCTTTGTAGCCGTTAGTCCTATTCTTTTCTGTATTCTGAGATTAATATGGTGCTTTATGTATGGAAAATAATATTATTTTCAAATTGATGTAAAAATAAATGTATTTATGTTTCAAGATTTATTTTGTCAGATATGACGTTGGTAAAACCATAAATAAATTTATGGTCAATGCAGCTGTAACTTAGCACATTTGCGTTCTCCACATGTTTTTTTAAAGAAGTTTTGCTGTTTATTACCTGATACTCGTCTTCGTCATCAACACATATGCTTGATAAACAGTATGTATGATTTGCTTTAAGGCAGTCTAACGTTTTATCAACAACAAGCAATTGGTATTTCCTAACGAATCCGTTTGGTTTGGTAGGCTTATTCCAGGAGATATTTAATGAACGTTTTCCCGGCTTAAGGTATGATATCACAGGATTATTTGGAGCTGAAATTATGCATCATATATAATTAAAGTAATGTTAATTCAAATGAGTCTTTTGACTTATATATTTAAATTAGATAAACATTAGCAAGTTAAAATATTAACAGAAAAAAAACCAACAACAACAAAAATACGTTTTCTCCTTACCTGTTTCTTTTGATGTTTCGTTCAATTCAATATAAAGAGGACAGCCAATCTGAGATCCGATATGAGTAGTTATACAGACATTACAATGACTTCCGGGATCAATGCCTGTAACTGTGGATTCTAGATTCGTTTTATTAAATGAGTAAGGTTCAATATTCCTATTTTCATTTGGACTCTTACATGTGAAGTTAACCTCGTAACTATCAGCATCTCCTTTAGCTGGTTTTTCCCATTTAATTCGTATAGAGGTTGTAGTCGCCCCAGCAACACATACATTTTGTACATTTTCAGGACCTGAAATTATGATAACAGGTGCAATATAAATCTTAAATAAAGAGCCTTTTCATCCGATAACTGATATTGAATACATTGTCTTTCTTTAAAGTGAATAAAGACAATAAATACATATTAAACACTAATATCATCTTGACCAAAATTAACAAACTTTAATAACGTTTGTAACACGTTTTTTTCTTTCGCACCATAGCATACCTTGCTTTCAGAACTCAAGGTTGACTTAAACAAATTATTGACATTTGAAATAACTGATAGTTATTATATCTCCACCTGGTAAAATAAGAATTAAATAAAATTTACATTTTATATGAAAAGAATAGTTCAGTAATTTGATCCTTCAAATTATCTGAATATTATAAAGCGTCGATTAATTCTTCATGCATAGCATAGATGTGTTTATAGCCAGTTACATGCACAAAAAGTTGGTAAATATTTTTTTTCTATTTTTACTATTTATATCACAAGGACAGAAAACATAAAAATCAAGTTTTGAAATTAACTTACGTGTAAATGTTTTAATTGTTGTAAAATTTTCACTCTTTATTCCAGTTAGAACAGTGTACACCTTAAATTCGTAGGACGTTCCTGGTGTAAGATTTGGTATAACTGCTTTCAGATCAGTGCGATTACGCGTAATTGGTTCTTCTTTTCCCACATTATCGTTCTTGTACGTTATTTCGTATGAATCAAATAAACTTTTGTTATTTTCGGAAAGATCTATAGTAACCATTGTGAAATTCGTCTGACTAAGAACTGCAATGGGCTTATTTGGAGCTGAAAATTTCAAGCAATTTAATCAACTACACGAAAAGCGTCCTTTTCAGTAAATGAAAGTTTACAGAAGGAATACGAGTTTCAAACATTGTCATTATCTATGGTTAGCTCTTTAAAATTGTTCAGTTTTATAAGTGAACTCAAGATATAAACAAACATGAGATAGAACACATGTCCTCTTTTTGGATGACGTTCATCTATTGGAGCTAGCGTCTTGCAATGAGCAGATATGTTTAATATTTAAATGTAGATATCAATCTTGTGTGACAAATATTTAAAATAGTTATACATCAATTTAAGCGCTTGTAAATGATTGATAAGTGCAGATTACCTGAATAAGAATTCCCTTTTACCGGGAATTCACTGAGCAGTTCATGTTTAGATGTATTCTTTACAGTATAAAGCATAACGTTATAATATGTTGCACTTTTAAGCTTGCCGATAGTCATGTTCATTGTATTCTTCTGCTGGGTATAATTTTTACATGTCACATTGCAAATAATGAGTCGAAAAAAGTCGTACAAGTCATCAAAAACTTTATATGTTACAGTAAAATTTTTTTCAAACACTAGTTCCTTTGGAATTGTTATTGAGGAAGGCGGACTTGGTCCTGTGAACACAAAAAAGCATAATAAAATTATTTTTAAATCAATTCTTTAAAAAAGTATCTAAAACTTTCTAAACAAGTTCAATAAATATAATATAACGTCTTGAAAGTGTATCACTCAAACTTTATGCTTTTGAGTGGTTGCTAATTCCACGAGTAATAGCGACTTCTGAGACTTGGTAAGTTCATTATTTTTTTTAAATATTTAGATGAGAAACGTTTCCTTAATTCATACTAGACATGGCAAATCATATACACGGTAACTTTCTTCAAATATTAATACCAATTGCATTGTCCTAAGTTAAATGGTTTTCGAGAACATTTTTTGAATTGTGTTAAAATTACAACTGCAGCTTTAGTATTTCCCACAAGACGGAAAAAATGTTGTACCAAAATGAATGAAAATAAGCTTTCGTCCTTTATTTAAAGCACCAAATTGACATCTTTTATCGAAAAAGGCCATAAGAAGGCAATAAGAAGGCCATATATAAAATGCTACTAGACGATAGAGTAAAACAGTTCTTTGTAGATGTATAGTAAATAAAACGAGCAATTTCTGGATTGTAAGTCACACGAAAACAAAATAGTAAGTTTCATGCATGGTTTCTTATATTTACATATACACTGACAGGAAATAAATATGTATTTGTAAAGAGTTAAAAAATCTTATTTCAATTCATGATCATATATTTTCTTTTGTTTCAAAAAGGAATGCTAAATCAGTTGTTTTATATAATATCGATTTATCAGTTCATGTTTAAGGAAGCCATTGTTGCGGATTATGCGATACATCCAATAGATTTATGTTCTTCTTTTCTATGTTAAGTTTACGCTACAAATAATTTATCTTAGTCCATAGAAGCTTTTATATTTACAATAAAATTTTGTTTTTGATTTCATCAGAAGAAAAACAGTGAAAGAAAAAGGTGTCTATGATCTTTGAAAAGGGTTGTCCTTCTTAAAGGTGTTGCTCACGATAAAATGCATGAAATTTTGCAATTAAAACTAAAAGCAAAAAAGTTAAGAAATGACTTAGGAAGCTAAAAATATGAACATTGTTTATTGAAAAATAACAGTCAAGAAGTTTTTTTGTTGTTTTTCTGTTTCTTTAAAATGACGAAGTAAAGGGTTTTATTGATTTTAATTCTCAAAAAATTTAACATATTTTATATTTTTTCCTTCATATTTTAAAAGCATTTTGGAAAAGGGCAACAAAAATCCAGGTTTCGAATGAGGGCCTCTGGAAATTCCCCCGTGCAAGTGCTGGGGAAACCTTTTTTACAAAACCCCAACTACCCCGAAAAGATTTTCGTTTGGTAACTTAGACATTTTTAAAAATAAAAGGTTTAAAATTGTATGATTTGTCATCATTTATACCATCGGTCATAAGAGCAAAACTTGTCCTTTAAGAGGCAAAAACTACAGAATTCAATAGACTTGTTTTGTCTTTAAGTAATAACAGTCAAATATCGCTGATTACTTAAAACTATTCTTAAATAAGTTTAATAGTCCTTTCATAGAGTATTTATCTAGTTTTGTGATGTTGCAGGTGTAATAAACACAAGAAAAAGAAGCAGTAACCTGAACATGGACATTCACCGGAACAAACAATTTTTAAGATCACATGGTTATTCACAAAGAGGAGAGAAACTACGCATAGACACATAGTTTTTTCTCCGCCCCTTGCACAGTCGCGTAGTCTTCAAATTGTCTTAATGTGTAAATGCTCATGGTCCAGGTGTCACATATGTATGCGGCCGGGCCATGTCTTTTCTGGTGAACCTGCAAGTCGGCCACAACGGCGAGTCTGCATCCACAATTGCAGACACTTGTGTTTATAACACATGCAACATAACAAAAAAGATAACAAATTTTCATTGAACTGTAAAATTTATTTTAGAGTCATATAATATAATATATCATTTGTATTTTACTATCATTTCTCAAAGACGAAAATGTCTTTTCTATTCTGTAATTTTGTCGAAACAATTTTATGCTTCTTTCATGTACACTTTTACTTTATTTTTGACAACAATAAATGAAGACTACATACGATACGCGTCATTCATTTTTTTATGACTTCGTTATGAAACGAATAAATAATTTGTAATACTTATGTCGGGTTATGTTTGCTTTCCTGTAGGACAGCTTTCGTAGCACTTGCAAGGGGGCGTAACCAGTGTCGTTTTCTCTCATGCGCCGTTAGTTCTAACCGACTTGTATATACCCTTTTCCAGAAGTTTTGCAAATGTAGTGGCAGTCAATCTTAAAAACAATGTAAAACAAGTTAAATATATTTAAGGAATTTGAAACTGAATAACAACCCCGTCAACTTCGTTATTTTAAACACAAAGGAATAAAACACAATATGAAGTTATTGTTGTAATCGATTTTAAATCCTCATAGCCACCCAAGTCATTTATTGATTTCAATAACTACACACGTTTCTGTAAAATTGTTTTTACTTCTGATAAATTCTAGAACAAAATATGATGACATATATAAAAGCTCATGGACTAAGATAAATTGTTTGTAGCGGAAATATAACGTAGAAACGAAGGAGATAAATCATTGGAATATATCGCATAACTCGCGACAGTGACACCCAGAAAGATGTAGAAGAAACTTCTGAATTTATATGTATTTTGTTAAAAATCAAATAGTAATACATAAAAAACATTTTGTAACGGATGATATTCAAATGTCATAGAATAATAAATGTTTCAGTTTATACAATATGCTCTTAAAAGTATGAAATTAGATATGGAATAATTTTGTATGTAAAAAATCCCCAAGCTGATTAAGCATTCGTATATCGAAACAAAAGAAAATATCTGACAAATACACATTAATTGCCTTTCAATGTATATGTTAACGTTAGAAACCATGCGTGAAACTTACTATTTTGTCCTCTCGTGACTAACTATCCATATATTTTTCACCAAGATGGTATATGGACTTTTACAATAAAATATGTCAATATTGAGGTTGGTTTTGTGTTTTAGTAAAGGAAGAAAGCTTATTTTCCTTAATTACTAAAGTTGCATTTGCAATTTTTACAAAATTCATTTACAAAATTCATTTTTTTTCTCTCAAAAAACATAAAACGTAGGACAATGCAGCCAGAAACAAAATTAAATAGCATTCGTTAGAAAAATTTTCCACAAATTTTATATTTTCCAAATCTTGAATCTTATATTGTTTAATGTTTTCAAATAATATATATATATAATTATATTAGTTGTACGATGATTATAACAAGGACTTTGCAGTGAAAGACATATAAAGGTAATATAATGTTTGCTGCAATTCTTTTACCAGAACTACTTTTTCTTCAATGTTTTTTTTTAATTATTACATTCTGTTGTTCATTTTTGTTCTTGCTGAGTAATGCCATGATATGGGTCGCTTTTGTTGTTTGTGATATCTGATTTCGGAACTCATCTTTTTGCATTGTTATGAAATTTTGATACAATTTTTTGCAGTTCTTTGACTTTTATACTGGCCGATCCCTTTTTTTCTATCTACATTGCTTATATGAAAAAATAAATTAAATAAAGATCAGTTATATATATTGAAATGAGAAAGTTGAAAAGTTGGTGCAAAAAAATTCATAGATACCGTTGTTTCAATACATATACAAAATGAAAAAATCTTTTTCATTGCTATTGAATTAAGAAATGAATAAAAAAACAAAAGTGAAATGTTATAACTTCATACTAGTTATTATGCCGTACATTAGGAAGCTTTCTTAAATAAATTGTATGCAATGCTCTTTTAAAGTGAATTGTTTTATAATGAAAGGCCTGTAATACAATCCAAAAGAAATAGATATGACAAAAAACCAAGAAAGTATTTAACACGAAAACTATTTGCAAGCGTAAGATACATGATCTGATGTTACAAATATTATGTAGCAGAAAGTATTAAAAAGCTCTAGAAAACAAAATATCATAATTGATCATATCAATGTTCAATCTAAATTACTTAGAACTTTATCAACATTTTTTTTTCAAGCAACATTTCATAAGAGCATTCATTGCTATTGTTTTTATCAATATTTGAACTATTTATGGAAATTCATCCTCGATAACCTAGGCTTATTACCGTATATTAAATGTAGTATATAATCGGACTTTGTACCGTTTGTTTCGATGATAATGGAAATGTGTCCAATGTTGACCTATCCACTTTAATTCAATATATATATATCATAATTGTAGTAAAAAACAAAACAAGATGAAGTTTAAAGTTTATCCTAGTAATCTAACAATATAAAGTTAAACGTAAATATATTGTAATTGCGCTTGGTCTTAATTTATATGGTAGATTATTGCAAAAATAAACAGTTAACTTCAATTTAGATTTTAGATTTTAGATTTAATTTCTAGGTTTAATAACTGTCAATGCGAAAAAAAAATTATTCAAGCAAATCTTAATAATCACTCCAATATTTAATATCAATAACAATAGCTTACTAAATGTCAACATATAAAAATGTAAGTAATTCAGATTGTTACTTCTATAAAACTTACGGGTAAATGAAGACTTGATGGCAGTTTTCATGCTTGGAACGCCGATTTTTGATTCCAGAAAATATCTGAAAGTGTAGTTCGTTCCAGCCGTTAGATTTTTGACAGCAATGGTGTTATTTAAGCTGTTGTTGCGTTCTTGTGTATATCTTTTTATAAGGTTAGCATCTGTTTGAAAAACTTCAATGATGACAAAATAAAAGTTATCGACTTCACCAAATTTATCCGGAGTGATAGACCATTGTAGAGTAATAGTGTTGTTTGTCGTTTCAGGCGTAGTCATAAGCAAATTGCAAGGATCAGCGTTCAATTCTGAAATTAATTGCGATAAAAACATTAATAGTGACATGTCGCGTACATTGCATTTGATCACTTTTTGTTAAGCAAAACCCTTAAAAATGCACGTAAATCACGAAGGGTTATTGCAATACATCAAGCGATAGAAAACAACTTGTTATGTGACTAATACGGTTCCGTATATGGAAATGCCAAACAATTTATTTTTGTTGTTTCCCACCTTAGCTACATGTATTCATAAGACAGGAACCAATGCTACTGAGAGTGTGGCCGCTTTTGAAAATATAATGTATTTATCTGTCATTTGTGAATATATATTTGACAGCTATATCTTTCTGTCTCTTTAACAACTAATTTGAATGCATTTAACTGATGAAACTCTTTTTGTCTTATTGTTTACAGGTATATAATGAAAGAATAAATATGTTGAAGAAACATCATGCATATTTTGCTATCGCAGGGTATAAAATTTCATCTAATCTAATTTGACATGGTCTAGTGACAAAATTGCAAAACAACTTGGTAGGGAATCACTCATCAAATATATATTAAAAATGATATTAAGTCGCTAGGCCTTGTGATGTATTTTTACAGAAGATTTGTTAATGACTTTTGCTAGGTAAGTCTATGTTAAAGTAGTTACTACTGTAGCAGAGTCAATTTAGCAAGTCTCTAAGCGTTATGGTTAACTTCAACTTACAAAGAATTTTCTGTATAATTATATGTAAACTTATATGACCCCTGGTTAAGGATAAATTCACATTCTAGGATATTTATTCAAAGAATTTGGTAGGAATTTTGTAGATTCTGAGAAATAGTTTTTCAAAGATTTTACTTTTAAAAGCACACAATAATAATGATTAAAATCAGCAGTCATTTAGTTTCAAAATTTGTTTTCTCTTGAAAAGATCATCGTACATTTTTATTTCTAGTTACACAATCGCAACATTTCAGCTCTTTACGTCAGTCTTCGGGTAAGAACCTCGAAGACAACAGTAATAATACAAAGAACAGGGGGGGGGGGGGCGTTTTATCAACGCGCTACGACACGTCGTAGGCTACTTTTTGTCGCAGACATGTCTCAGACCGGTAAGGACCGTTTTATTAACGTTTGGCGAAGCGTACGACGTCGTAGAAAATGTCGCAGCTCTACGACAGGGTTGGGGCTGTCGTAGGACGTTTCTGTGACGTCAAGACTGGCAATCACTGTTTACATGTATACATGCTCAGCACATTATTTTCATGAAATAACTTTTTACAGAATAAAAAACACATTTCAGTTTTTTTTATTTATTTTCCTTTAACGCCATACGATATATAGGGACTCTTAATGCTATCTAATTATAAGAGAGAAACAAAATACCGTATGCAAATTTTATACCCTTTCCTTTGTCAGTCTTCGGACACAATAGTATTAATACACAGAACGGATACGGTATTTCGGCAGTATTAACTCCCAGGTTATTATAGATTATAGCCGTGATGTACCGATTGATCGCCACACGTTATACTTAAAAGTCCGGTGCCATTTTAGAATTGACAGCTAGCTTTTAATTTACTATAAAAGTAATATAAACATACTTTTTGGCGTTTCTTAAAATGCTTTTGATGTTTTAGTTTTCTGTTTTAATTTTATTTTTAAAAGTGACTGATCGGTCATTAAAATAAACCATCTTTTGCGTCTGTTAATTTTTTGGCAATTTAGTTGTGTTAGATAGTTATTTAGTATTTTGTATAAAAGTCAAAAACTACTTTGTTTACATTTTGGTTAATTATTACAAATAATTTTACATTCACCGCTTCTTTCTTCAAGTGATAAGCAGCTGCATGCTCTAAAATCGTTATTTAAACGTTATTTTACCCTTGTTTGCTCTGCAAAAAAAAAACTCGCTTCTGAGACAAAATGTGCCTTTAGCATTCAGTACAGACCCAGGAACCGTAAATCCGAGTGCAGAAAATAGTAGCTTTTTCTCACTTAAAATTGTTCTTTGAATGACACTAAAAAGTATTTATTCGTTTTATAATAATCATGTTAATTTACCCGTTTAATAATAATCATTTAAATTCCATCAGTACTTTTGGTACATTGATTACATACTTGACTAGCGCGCACTGGCTAGACTGTGTCTCGCGAATTATTGTCTACGACAAAGGCTGCGACGTCGCAGAAACTCAACGTCTGTGACACGTTTCATAAAACGGTCGTACGACGTTGTCGCAGACGTACGGCACCGACAATAAAATGTCGTTGACTACGACAGGTTGATAAAACGGCCCCCTGGTACGGTATTTTGATCGCTTACCTAGCATTCCTCTGCATTTCAACATACTTTAAACTGGTTTTTGCCATTCATGAAATGTGCAAAAGATTTTGCTTGGTTTTCAGAAATTTAGCACATTCAAGGTAAATATCGTTATAATAGTCCTTATAACATAGACATTGAATTGCAAATTGTTCATCATTTTACATTGCCAGCTTTCACTTTGGACCCACTTAGTGAAAACAAACATGACTGACAATGCTGAATCACCATATCATCGGAAACTTAAAATGAATAAATTCTCGAGCAAACACGTGACCTAAGAATGGTCAGACCTTTCCTTTGATTAAAAAAAAAACACTTTGGCGGTGAAAGGGTCACTTTCTAATGTTTATGGTACTAAAAAACTGCAGAAACTGATGCTTTTAGTGTGGTATTAGTATTTCATGAACAGGTGGGTTGCCGAAAAAATCAGTCTTCCATAGCTCGTTAAAGCGAGGAGTAATTTAAACAAATACAGTAATCATAATGTCTCAATTCTTTATTAAAATATATTTAAAGTAAAGACACATCGCTACCTACTTTTTACACATGTGTTGTTGTCCTCCAGGAAGAAAAAGTCATCAGGGCATACACATCTACCTTTTATGCATTTTGCATTTGGTGTTAAGCATTGGATTTCATTAGAAACGTTGTTATCACAGGAACCGTTATATTCCACATCTGAAATGTTTATAAATATTTGTTTTGCATGGAACTTATGTAATAATAGAATTAAAATTTTAAATTGTGAACATTCAATGTACCTTATTTTTATCAGATAAATTATGTACATTGTAAGTTAGTATAACTGTTATCAATATCTTCTTTGGTAACGACTTTTGCATCTTAAAACAATGTTTACAAAAGAACTATTTAGTTATATTGTTTGAAATGAATATAAAAGTGCATAGCTTAAGTGAACTGGTTCAAGATAATTAATTCAATTTACTTTCACGAAGAAACTTGAATGGTTATTATTTTGAAATTGACAACCTTTGTTTCTTAAGGTATCGTCCTATCTCAATTAATGCTCAATGTTTGTTGTCATATATGTGAATAATTATAAACGTTTCAAATTAGGAAATTATAATAAACGTGTCAACGATTGGCTAATTAATAATTTCCATATTTCTGTAATTCAATAATTTACAAACTATTCCTTACATAATCAAGAAAACAACATTCTTTCATAAAAAATATAAAATACTATATAAAACAGATGCATTGAATCCATTCCGGGTGTTGTCTTCAAAATGAAAACAGTATAAAATGAGTATGCAATATATATTTATTTCATTAATCACTTTGATACTGAGAAAACATATTAAGCTTTATGACAACAAACCTGTAGTAGTCGAAGTAGGTGAAGTCATTGGTGTATTGGCAGACGTAAATAATATTGGTGTGGTCTGTGTAAAAGAAAACGCTTCGCATTAATTAAATGCTATCTACAACCACGGCTAGTTTATACAGTATGTGTTTAAATGAACAGTTTTAAAAAGGAACTCGTATTGTTTAATATTCAAGAGAAAAACGACAATCTGTTTATTTCATAGAATATCATGACAAGTAAATGGGAAAAAGAGCGAATAATATAATTTAGTAAAGTATAGGAGTAAGATTGACAAGATAGAGCGACGTTCACAAAACGAAGTCCCCTACATATTCAACAGAACAGGACTACACTAGTAGTGCCAAGAATCCATAAAAAGGGGGAGTTACACAAAGGATGAGACATGCAGAGGGTGAACCACCAAATCAACAACTAATGTAGGAGGAAATGTATATGAACTAAGAAATAAACAGGTAGAGGACGCGATTAAAAGCAAGGTTGATGTAAGAAATTGGAAAATGCTGGGAGGTTAAAACCAGGCTAAATATTTAACAATACACAAGGCATATATTTACAGTTTGATTAGTTGGTAATAACTTTTCTGACAGATCAGTATCAGTTAATAAAGCCACTGTCGAATCGAAGTGAAATTCAAACAACATCAATGGTTACAGAAGGTGAAATAATACAGAAACGAACATATAAATGCATGTAAAAGAAAACACTTATGCATAATTATTCAGTATCTAAATAGAAGAGAGAACAGAATTAAACCACTATTATAAAGGGTACCACAAATAAGAAGTACAATAAACAAGTAGAATTTGAGAAATACTCTATTAATTTGGAAGTCTGGTGGAGAAGTTTGCTAGAAATGAACGTATTTTGCAAAGGTTATATCTTTTCTAAATGACGACAATTAACTTTATCAAAATCAAAATCATCTCTTTTATCATGTACTTATATTATTGTTATTGATGACAAAATGCATGTCCACATATGTCAAGAGTAAAGATGTACTAAAATCTGAAGATTTGGTATTATTAATCTGAAGTGGTTTTAAATAAATTGTAGTCACCATTGATCAAAATAAGAATTATTTGAATTGAAAATAACATCAAACTAGAAGTTATATTAAAAAAATGCATCAAACATAATGACAAGTGCTTTCTCTGAATGTTCACATTCATGGAGATTGATGGACATAGGTTATGTATACATGTTGTGTAAAAAAATGACCTTGACATTTGGTAGAATATGGTGTCAAAGATGTACTCACCAAGACCAACAAAAATATCAAAACTGCTGATATCCCGGCCATTCCTTATATATCTGTAAAAGAAAATGATAATAACTTAATATCCATTTATTACAAATAGCGTTTAAATTATCAAGAGGCATATGCGTGTATAGTCAAACGAGCACTCATGATTTGGTAAAGAATAATACAGGTATTGACTACTTTCGGCAAAGATATGCATTGTATATGCATATGCAAGGTTGCCTAGGTTCTATAATTTGTAACATAAGTCGTTCGTTATTATCTTAATATCCAGTCACAGAAATGTGTGTGTGCACGTGTGCGTGTGTATGCGTACATGTATATGTGCACGTGCCAATTCACATAACATTGTTCACATACGCTATTATGAGTATCTAACTTTGTAAATGATGATGTTAGTTGGGATAATTGTTTTTAAATTACACACTAGTATAACATGAAAAGAAAGATCAGTGTATGTCAATCAAAGTACTGAAGTACAGATGGGTCGGCTATCTTCACTGCCACATAATTTTGAAAGAACGTTTCCAGTCTAATAAATAATGGATGGTTATTTCATTCTGAAATTCCTTTAGTAAATTAAAGAGAATGAATATTGGAAAATATTGTTAGGTAAGCGTGAGTATACCCTTTAAATATAGAAGTCATAAACCCATATATTTTTGATTGTAGACACATTTTAATGCATGTAGCATTAAATTACCTGGAAAAAAATCTGGAGGCAAATGTGTAATCATGGGACCTAGTGGGATCCAACAACTTTTTATTTGAAATTGTTTTTCTTACAACATAAAGAAAAACATTATGTTTTAAGAACGCACTAAAAAGCAAAATTGAAATGTTGTAGGCTCGGTTTGATTAAGCCTATTCATAAAGTGAATAGTAAACTTGTATGTAATACACAAAAACGCATTTCCTTGTTTTACCGACATTTTGCATGTGAACATTATATTCGCAGTACACATCAGAACACATTCAACGAAATACAGAATGAAAATTTTTCTTTTCTATTTAGTGTATTAATATAGCGCAGATAAATATAAACGGATAGTGAATTCAATAAAAAGTTTTCTGTAGCACAGTCAAATAATAGAAAACACGAACTGATTCACGGTTTCATCTACATAAACCACGGTGCATATCCGTTACGGTACCCTACTAAAACGGTTCCCTCTGCAAATGCACCGGTCATTCTCTGCTGAAAACAAGGCGACATACACCATATTTTTCATTCTATTGATAAAAGTAGTTATGTGGCGTAAAAAGCAAGTATACGACGGGACACTAGACTGTTTTAACTGTGTCTTTCTTAAGTCTTTGTTCTTTTTTCAAATACAGCAACTCCAAAATAAGCTACACAATATTGCGATATTTTGCTACGCCAACCGACTCAGCATTGGCTAAATGAACAAGTGATTTGATTATGTGCACGCCATATATCTTATATGATTCCATTTTTATACAATCTTCTGACAAATGGCAATAAAGAGTCAACAATGTATTCAAAACTCATTAAAACCCTCTTATCTCGGTTTTGCAGTGTACCATTCTAGCTCGGTGAGTATGCAATGTAGCTGATGTACTTTTTTCGATATATTTTACTGAATATCTTGCCATATAGAAACATTTCTTCTACAAGCATATTGCACTTTTAGTGCTTATTTGTTATATTTACTTTGTCATTATATATTTGTGAGTAAAGCAGTAAATTATGCACAAATGGCACGTTTCATGACGTTTTCCCAATTTTCTTTCATAACATAAAAGCTCAGCAATAATTGATTTTCACATTCAAACTAGACAAGTTTTTACCATTTAACGTTTTGGTTTTGTTTTCATTTTACTATTTTGAAGCGTGCTGCTTTAAGGTATCTCAGAGTAAAACATTAATCTTATTTTCATTTGCTGGAAAAAGTTGGCAAATTACTATTTCGATAAGATATTTTTATTCGTTTCAGTCGATAACGGAAGGGTTATGCGTTTTTATCATCGATTGATACACCATGATCCCCCATTTTTCTCAATATTTGGCTTATGCCTTACATACATGTATGTGTAATAATGGATAAAAACTTTGAAGTATTTGTACCGGTAAGGCAGTTTTTCATTTTGACTACTGGATGGAAAAATTGGAAAAATATTATTTTATACAACGTATGGGTCTGTGGCATTGCTTTTTATTAAAATGCGCAACATCCCACTTTAGAAATTTATATAATCTTATCAATTTTTTCTTATAAAATCACATTGGTCATAGCTTTAGCTGTTGCGATATGTCCATTGCTGCGGCGTTGAATCATTTGACGCAAAAGCGATGAATAAAAATTGCTTTCAGTTCATTTTTTGCTGTCATCAGTTTAATATCGAGTCTTATTCATATTATACCGTTTTACTGAAAACACCTTCCACATATGTACTATTTTCTATCTTTAACATGTGCACACAGTACAACACTTTGCCATTTTAGTATAAGTTTTGTGTATTTAAACGGGGGCCACGAACTTTGCAACATTTTGGTTAATACCGGACCAATTTTGTACAACTACGTGTATTGTTATTACATGTATATAAAAGAATTGACAACAATTGGTTTCAACTGTAGATTAAGACTAGGATATCACGCAAGTACCATGTCATCATACCGTGATGTAATATAATTGTGTGTCAGTTACCTCGAGTTGAGGAATGACAACATCTAGGCCGGTTAGAACTCGTTTACAAATTTTCTACTTAAGACGTAAAAAATATTGCAACGCCTGCTATGATTGTAGCTGTCATCTTTTGGCAATGTCTATAAGGAATTTGCTCATCATCAAAGGAGTTTGAAATGCTACGATAATGCACTTAATGTCAAAATCGAAATTTATGACAACTATTCAGTCAGAAAACCAGATATATTAGATAACATAGTTCCCTAAATGTGACTAAACACCTGCATTTCACCAGGAACAGAAATCAGGAAATATTGTCGAATCTTCAAAATGTTAACCTCTTCTTACATAAATGAACAGACGAATTCATAATGCTGCAACGTAGAATCGTACATAAGAAGATGAATTCATAATGCTGCGACGTAGAATCGTACATAAAAAGCTAGATATTTAAATTACTTTTAGTGCTTATGAACAGCGATTTTCGAAAATTTGAAATATTACATATTATATTTTTATGATTTAATTCGAAAATAAAACTAGGTATCATGGGGACAGTATATCCGATTGAAGTGATTCCCACGTCTCACATATACAATATCGATCTATTCATGGGAGGTAACTGCTACGATAAGTTAATATTTTGGTCAAAATAAAGGTTATGTGCGCTTGCAAACTAGACAATACGAATATAATTGTACTCGTGTCTTTATGTTAAGCATACAAATCTGTTCAGGAAATTGATTATTGTGAACATATTTATGAAAGGTTTTTGCAATGCTTCTTTAAATTGCAGAGAAAAGAACTGTAAAATTACACGTATGGACATTGCCATTGTTGTGCATATGTAATAGCAACCGAGGGTATACAAAGGAAATCTATCCAATCTGACTAAAGATCAGATCTACTTATTTCTGTTTAGTAGATCTGATGACAACCGTATATGTTTCGCCTTCTTTATAAATAGGATTTCCAGAGAAAGCTATTTTTAGCAATGCAATCAAACCCGTTTTTACAAATAGGCATTAGAAAAAGTATCAAAATACTGTTATCCGTGGACGTTAAACAAATTGTTGATTTTTGTTAGAAAAAAATGTTTAAAGTAACATTTAACAAATTAACTTGAAATATTAGTTTCAATTTTAAATGGACAAGATTGTTTTGCCAGTTTACCTGTAGGCTATATGGACAATGCCATGTTTTTTCTCGGAATCGTGAAAATTACCTACTCGGTATTGAGATTCCCAGGATTAAAATTAGAAACCACATCGCTTTCAAAATTATGAAAGCTCGCCGATGATTGCCTGTATGAAAAAAGTCACCAGAAATGAGTTCGTGTTTGGTCACGGTCAGATCTAAAAGCGTTATTTAGAACTGATTTTAATCAGATTTGAAATCTTTCTTAAAAACATCAGTATGGTGCATGGATATTAATTTGTAAATTTTTGTTTTTATGACAAATGGCACTTGTTTTAAGTTCTAAAAAATCGCAAGGTTTTGTTGCTTTCAAATATTTGCTAGGTCAAAGGCACCCAATCATAGAAAGACAGTATTTTACGAAAATGACCTGAAATGTACGGTTTGATACGGATATGACTCTTAATGTATGTTTAACATTATAAAGTATCTATCCGTTGAAATACATGGCAACTTCTACAGTTTTGATTAAGATAAAATGATTAAAATAAAAAATAGCTTTCATATCAACTTATATCGTCAAACACTTTATTTCATCAAACACTACATTCATTACAACTATGGCATGTTTTGCTTCATAGTGATATGTCAAATGTATATAAAAACGTTAGGTAAGCAGAAAGCAGGTGATAATGTGTATTATAAAGCGTCGTTAGTCTCACTACACGTTTCTCTTGTTTCCGAGTAAAAAAATAGTATAACAAAATCATTTCCTGCCGTGATTATTTCCCACAGAATATTTTTAATGTTTTAATATATATTTACAATTAAATAATAATGTTTGTTCGTTAAGCAAGCCTTATACATTTAATGTTATAAAATCAAATGTACTTACATCTACATATTTAGCCGAGAATAATTGTAAAGATAAACGTATTCGTCTATACTCGCGTCTTTAGATGTCAGTATTATCACTTTTATACTGTTCGCAACTTTTAAAACTTTTGCAGGACGAAATTTGGTTCATTTAACTTATCAATTAATGAAACTTGATAAAGTGTACTTGTTTTTCTGCTAATTAAATAAATGTCACGTCCATCATTTCTGTTTAAAACTTCCTTAGTTAGTTCATGCGACTTCTACATTATCTGTAATAGATAAAACTAACTCGTTATCATTAATTTGATATGATCATTTCTTGTTGTACCAAGTGTTTAAATATTGTTTTGAAATAAAAAAAAAAAATCCCAAATAATTTTCGAACGTTATCATCTCTAAATATTTCTTTAAAAATCAATACAACTTTTGACTGTCTTCCTTTGAAATATATGATATGCTTTAGAGTGGATGAAATGTAAGATTATAGGGTAAATACACAATCGTTTTACTTAAATACCTGCAAATTAAAGCAAAAGACCGCAGAAATTGAATACTCTGAGAGATTCTGCTGATGCATATATACGAACAATGGTGCATGCGTACTATTCTTGCAAATATATGCGTCTGATTTAGTAATTCTGCGTTTGTTATTTGTTTTTTGCATATTAAACAGACCGGTTAAGTTTTGCTTTAAAAGCGCGACTGTGATAAATAAGACCGTGATTGCAGTCAACGATGTTTCAAGTCGCCCATGGTTACACATATTTAAATAGTGCAACAGTTGTAATTTCTCGCGTGTTTTTATTCGTTAATTTTTTCTCCGTTTATGACCAGTGTGGGCATTTTTACAAGAATAATTTTTAATTATGAATATGGAATATCTTATATATAAAACTGGTGTTATGCAAGCGTGAATCGCAACGTCAAAAATATTTTTTTTTAAAAAACAACGTTCCAAAATCTTTGCCTATGTAGGTTTAAAATCTTAACGACCTTGATGATTTAAATGAATATCTAACTTCAGTTATCAAATATGTATTAATAGAGGATAGTTTGTTTGTTTTAAGTACATACATGATATTAGTTATAAGATAATCATCAGATATTATCGCTACAAATGCATATCTATTACACATACTTACAAATGAAGGCCTTATTTTAATTTGGTTTATAGAAAACTAATCACATGTACACAATGAATGATTTACTTGCAGATGATATGAATTATATTTCAGCACAGTTCAAGTATATTTTAAATTTTAAACGAATTACATGTTTCTTTTCACACCTTTATATAGATGATAAAGCAGTGTTACCTTAGATTTGGTGGCTGATTTGTGCCATTCTTGTTTTCGCCCGCGACCACGCAATGAATTAATAAGTTAGAATGGCGGGAGCGAAGCGAAAACACGCTTATCATCGGGGGTGCAGGGCGAAGTTTAATAAATAAAACTTCACCCCGCGGGGCGCAGAGCGAGATTTGAGAAATGAAACGGCGGAGCGAAAACACGCTAATTTGCTTCATTTGAGAAGAATGCCGGGGCCTCAACTGTACATGTAACTCAGGCTGATTTTGTTTTATTAAAATAAAACTTCGCCATTAAATTCCTTTAATCTCGCTCCGTGCCCCGCGGGGAAACGTATTATTTTTTCAAATCGCGCTGGAAATTGAGATGATTTTATATTTGTGACTTCAACCGTTTTGTTTTGGCATAGGATTTGAACCAAAAAGTCAGTCTGAAATACATGTACAATTGAGGCCACGGTATTCTTCTCAAATGAATATTCGTCAAATGTGGGTGTGTTAAATTAAGTGAGAGATTGGTTTTGTCCAAAATATTATGTTAGTCTGCTTGCATTCACACTTTAGGTTGACTATAAAATGGACATACGTAAAACAAATTGAACTCAAGGTAACGATATTGTTGATTAGTTTTTTATTGTAAAAATCCTGCTAGAAAAGTTACTTTTAAACCAAATTTTAGCAACAAATGTTCAAACAAACCAAAGGAAATTAAACCATTCGACCTTCGAGTAAAACTTGAAATAAACCCAAAATGGCTCTATTGATAATGGGTTGATTGCAATTAAAATGAACATAATCTGTGTTGTGATTTAACATGTACTTGCATGCCTAATATAAACAGATTTATTAAAATCCTACAAGTAGAAAAAATCAAACAAACAGAACCCATAAAGAACGTAAAAAAAACACTATTGAAAATGTTGCAGGCTCAGTTTGATTGAGCCTGTTCATGGATGGAACTTGAAAGTGCAAGTAACAGTTCTTAACCCCTAGCACTCGAGAACAATTCTGCGTATGACGTGAGAGGAATAAAGAATCCCTTAAGATTTTCCAAAAGGTAAAATTGAAACGAAACGAGAAAAAATGGGCGTAGCCATACAAAGTAAAAATAAAAATGCAGGCAACATATCCTAAAACAATATTAAAGTGAGGAATTCTGGAACTAACCAATTTCAAAGAAAAGGGAAAGAACTAAAAGTACAAAACACAAAAAAAGAAGTCCTGCTGAACTATCTCTATGATCTTGCAATTGAAGTGTTAACGAACGATTGTTAAAGTAACCAGTTTCTATATATATTCTAAGGTACAAATGGACATAACTCCTCTTGACATTGCTTTCTATATAACGTCCAATAATGTCCCTTGACAGTTTTTCCGTTTCATTTTTTTTGCACGACAACACCAAAGCGATCATAACATCTTTAAAACAGACGAGTTTATAAAATGGACTTGGGTGTATTGCCGCAAGTGATGACCCGTATAACCCTACTATTAGTAGCTTCGTGAAGGATATAAGCAACATTTTTACATTGAAACCAAAGTAAATTGTGTTTATTGCATCTGTTTGAATAAAAATGAATAACACAATAATGATATCGTATTTTTTAATAGAATTAACGCATATGGCGACTATTCAATGCTTCTAAAATACAATGAATTTAAAAATAGAATGATTAATTGATACTGTTTAGAATTGTTTGTATATACAAAAGCTAAACAGAAAACAATACAAATGGTGTACATGTATTACAAAGGCTGGCAACGATTGGCATAGACGAAATGATAGAACATTACATAGATCAATGAATTTATCAATGACAATAAATGACATAATCAGATTTATATAACCAGGACTGACATTTAAAACCTGAAATTGTAAAGTCTCAAACATTTTCATGGCAGCTTTGAAAATAAACAATTGGACAAAAATAAGAAATTGCGTTGTATGTATAAATAATGCTAATGTTTTGTTGTTTTTGTTTTTTACGGAAATTTCGCTCCTTTTAAAGATCCTATGTCTGTCAAATCCAATAAGATATCTACATATATTTTTAGACAAAAATAATTGTTTGTTCATTATCACCAGTTGATCTCTATTACATAAGAGGATATGTAATATTGGTAGTATTGAATGTGGATAAAAACAACATTTATACTTCAAATTAGTAATCAATGTAGACTTGTGATTATACCTGTTTAAATAGTAAAAACACAATATTGCTGTCGTCGTTAAAAATATGGCGACTGTACAACGCTTCTAAAATACAACGACCTTTACAAAAGAAAGATTTCCTTTTACTGTTTACAATTTATTAGATATACATAATAAGTTAAACACATAATATTTTCAGATGAAGACGGTGACATTTTAAAAATGTTCAAATGCACCTTAAGGTTAGTCATTAATGGTATACGGGGTTTTAGGTATAAAAATGTTGGACATTTGGGGACATATAAGAATCTTTTGTTTTATTTTACATATGACATTACATTCGGTTTAAACAATTAATATATTTTTTTCAATTAATTATCAACGTAGATTTACGATTTTGCACAGATAAATCTACAATTGAAAAGAATATATTAAATATATATCAAAAATGTTCAATACATGGGGTCTGTCTGTCATAATAGAGGAAAATATTTGTAAATTAGCTAAGCATCACTGCATAGCTGGTTGTTGGTGAAACAATAAATATACAATATCATTTTTGAGAAAACTGTAAAAAAACTAAAACTTTCAATAATTTTAATTAATACCCACACAAACAGCGTTTGTCCTGAAACAAGAGCCACACGTAGGTTCAAACCTTAGTTTTTCTCAAAATCAGAGCAAAATTTTACCATTCAAGCTCATGGTTAAGTAATAGTCAAGTTATGTTTAGTTTGACCTACTTGAAGTTATTAAAAAACGTTGTTATGCCGAAAAAATGAAGACAAGGCAAAAATAATGACGAAATTTATCAAAACTCAATAATTTGACCTTAAATGTCAACGTCAAACATGACTTTCTAAACACGTCGATTTGTGCTAAGTGTTGTTTTGTTCTAATATGAATAATCAGGGCTTGGAATCGAACTGGAAAAAAACATGGATAAAGCAATATGAACTGTGTCGTATCTACAACATTTCATTAAAAAATCTCGCCGCCTTCTAGTTGCAATTTCGCAATAACTTGTTTTACCAAATAGATCTGGTAGCAAAAAATTAAGCGGATAATTGTGGACGGGTTGATAAATACATTTCAGTCATTTCCATAAACAACAATACACATTTCTCGTTCAAAGATGGCGGCGTTTGTTTACAAACTGTAGGTTAAACCCAGTCCTGTAATTCCATCTCTATGGCTAATTTTAACATATTCGATAAATTTTAACATAAGGGTCAAGGTCAATTTGACCTACTTGAAGGTATTTTTTAAAAGTTTTGTTAATGGGTTTAAGAAAAAATGTTTTACTTAATATAAAACCAAAAAATGCCAGCGTGACATATAGATGACAAGTAAATGTTTCGAAGGTCTTGTAAGTAACATAAAAAAAAAGAAAAGGACAAAATAAGAACAAGTGAGTATATATGGACCAAGGTTCAAGTGCGGAATGTGATTTTCCTAACATTTATCGTTTTAAACGATTTTTGTGAAACGTTATTTTCACACCCAACATACGGACACTCGTTACAGAACGTGAGTCCAAGATTTTGATAGATAGAAACATTTTTGTGTGGGTGTTATGAAGATAATTTAGAAGCACCAAGATTATTTTCTCAGCGAAATATAACTCAGAATTAAAATTATGATGATATGTTGTTATTGACTCAAGAGGAAATTTAACGGTGATTTGCATTTGCCAGATCAACAGCAGAAAGGGGTTATCATCAAATATGTAATGTGTTGTATCATCGGCGACTTTGGGCATGAAAGTCACTTAATCGGAGTTAACAATGCAATACTCTCTGTAATGCTTTAGATATGTCTCAGTAAACAATTCTTACTTCTTTCTTTTGTCTATGATATGTAGATAGAGTGAAAGATTGACTTTAAAGTTGAGTCTGGAAAGGTCAGAACAAATTAAAATCCTCATAAAAGTGATCATTTGTATACCAGGAAGTTAATTTATGCATAATCCATTCGAAAGCTCTTGAAATATCACATGTCTTGAGGGTCGTTTTAACACACTGGGCGAACGTGTGAAGTTTCCCTTTGCGTCGGAACGTGACCATTGCTTAAACAGAAAAAGAAAAAAGTGGATAGCAAATCAAGTCAAATTTCGGATAGGGCTATGATGTCAGATGATTTAGTTCAGAGTACAGAATTTTGAATTTCTCGTTTATGCTTTGAATTTTATAATTATGGGCAATGAGATATTTAAATTTTAATGCGGATGGCGTGATGTGGTTTCTGGGAAGGTCCCGAGTTAACATGAATAATTCCAGATGTAGCAAAGCGCATTGACAACGAGGTTACTAGTTTGGAAATTTGAAACATGGATCTAGGGTATAAAAATGAATAGATCACATGAAATTTGAGGTAGGAGATAAGGAGATAATGATAGTGATAATTATTCATTATTGAAGAGCATTAATAATTTAAATTTACAAGATATTTAGTAATTGTTAATAGTTGTTTTATATTGGAAGAACCAAAACACACAAAAAAGTTTATATTCAAACACTTCTGTGGAATATGAACTAACTTATTTCCTAAAACTAGTAAAACGTGAGTAATGACTGACACTCGGAGTCGTATGTATTTGGTGCACTTAGGATAAATTACGCAAAATAGGTGAAGTAGGACCATGGTCCGAGATTGCGGTTATTGTGTAAAAAATCTTAAATATTTCAGAGCATGGGATAATATGTATTTCTAGAATAATGAAACTCAAGTGGTTGTGGTAAAAAATATTATACAGTGATGATATTTTACAGCTAATGATTTATATGTGCTACTGTATTGTAAAAGGGCTTATAACATCCCTAAAGTCAAATAATTCCATGATTCCAAGCTGCCTGGCAAAAGGCACGTCAATGTCAATTATTATTTCAAAAGTAATAAATGGCTATTTTCATATGATTGATCAATATGCCGAGAATCATAACCTTTTAAGTAATGAACAGTAAGATTATTGAAATGTCAATAATACTGAACGTAAAGAAAATGTCATTTTTCTCATAAATATAATAAATCTATCATAAAGAGATTCTGTATATCATAATAAAAATAAATATTTTGTATGTAATTTGTGACTTGATAAAGTAATTCAATTAATGTAAATAAAGAGCCACATGAACAATTCATATTTGCCATTTATTCCCATTTTTTACAATTTATGATGCGGATTCCTACAATATCGCAAAATATAGCCTTTTTCTAAATACACGAAAACAATCTAAGATAAATATTTGATATTACGTGTGTGTCTATCACAGAAAATAAATCTCTTTGGTCCTATAAATTAATGAAAATTTCAATTTTTAAATGTTAACTATAGAGAAAGCATGTTCATATAAATATTATATACATATTAAAAATCACATATCACAAGCAGTTTACATTATTGTGTTAAGTAACATAAATATGCATCCAATTCTTTTTCAAATAGTCATTGTGAAAGGTTTATAAGATTAAATTTAGGCATACAAAACCTTTCAGTAATTCTTAAAATTAGAAGTAAGCGAGCCTTAAATATTTTTCGGACAGTCCAGGTGATTTTCTACACGAAACATAAACTAAATATATATAAAAATAACACAATCAATTGCATTACATGCATTGAGAAATATCTCGATATAATTTTCATTTATAAATTTTCTAACATCCATGTACATATATGTATATATCATAAATCGTCTTTGTTCAAAATACTTATTCTCCATTTTGTTCAATAGCTATTCCAGTCAATCTTTCGCAATTTACGCATTAACGTATATGTTTTCTTCATCGGCTCCAAATCCTGTATTTACGTAAACAGCTAAAATAGAAATATAATACATTATAATACACATCAAAAGCAAAATATGTAGTTCTTAAACACCACGTTTACTCATAAGCCCCTTCCTTTTGTTCGTCCTTTGCGTACTTTGATATGAAAGTTTTGCCGAGATTTTTAAAAAGAAGATATAAACAGGGGTATATAAACATCATTCATCTCAAACAGATACGGACTTAAAGCTAACCTGTTTTAGAAAATTGGAAGTTGATAGGTCACATTTAAATGTACCGCATTTGTGTAGTTTTTATATGATATCTGGTGAGGACCAAGTTTCTGTGCAGAAAAAATGAATATGGCAGAACTTTTTAACTTGATAAAATCAGGGATGACACTACAAAGTGAATATTTGTTAAACAACATGATGATCTCATTGTACTGTAGCAGAGTTATTTTTGAATTTTGTTTTTTTTTCTCTCAAATGATACTGACTAACATAATACAGAGGGCGGGCACTTAGTGGACTGACACCATAAATGACTTTCGTGATAGTGTTAATGAGTATCAAAACTCAAGCAAGCAATATCAAATGCAGTCGAAGCAGAGCAAAAGAAATTTTATAAAGTCCTTTAAAGATAAAAGTTATGACATTACCTTCTTCTTCTTCGTCTTCTTCTTCCTCATCAGTTGTAATGAACGCTTTTAGGCACTCGTGGATGTATATGTATTGGTCCTTAAGATATAATAACATTTGACTTATTAACAAATAGTTATGTTTTGTTTAAAAAAGAGACAATAAGACTGAGATCGTTTTTTTTACTTAAGTATAGTCTAAAGCATACTCTATGTAAAAATGCTGATAAAGGAAATCACATTTCCTGTAGAAATAAAATCAAAAAGATGGGTTAAAACTGTTATAATTATATTTACGAGTATTTCGCATTAAAATGTGTATATAATGTTTATTCTTGTCATAAAATACACATTCTTAAGCCAGTATAGGCCAATTAAACGTGTGCTATTAATGCGTTCCGTCGTATAATTCAAATTATTCTTCAGTTTTCGAGACATTTTGATGTGGCTTTTTTATTGATTTATTTCTTTTAAGGGAAGGACGTCGAGACTTGTTACACTTCCTAGTAATCAAAACTATTCTTTTAAGGTGTACACTCCGCTAAACCTTGATGTTTTCTCGAACATAAAAATTTAAAAGGACAAACGGTATCCAAATACAAAAAAGGTAGAAACAAAGATGCTTCTGAGACACCACTTTGCTATGAACTTCCTTTCACACTATTTTTTATGGTAGAGTAACCTTTTGGCGACGAACTTCCCCTGATACAATCCGTTTTTATGGTCAAGGCAAATGTGCTGTTGATCTTCCACACTGTAATAAACTATACATGTATGTTTTATTATGCAACAGTTACAATAATTAGAACAATGAGTGATTAGCGGAATTACCTCTGTCTGCACCATGTTCAACCTATGATTTCTCATTTCAAGGACAAGATTAAATATATCCACCTCGTCATGATCTCTGATATGTTGTAACAAGTAATCCACTGCAATAAATGTCCCAGTACGACCTACACCAGCACTGTAACAAAAAAGTACGGCTTACATTTTAGAAGGACTGAACAAATAAATAAGAAAGAATGAATAGATAAATAAATGGGTAGTACATTCTCTATAAAATATTGTTTATTTGTTCAAAATGAATCAAACATTTTAAAATATGTTGTATCTTTTTAAGAATTTCCAATTAACGCATATGATGTTGGTGGCAAATAAATACTAAATAAATTTGCATGACGTTATGCACGTCTAAAAGTCAAATCTTTGTTCTATTCCTATCGGATTTATATTTTCTAACACAACATCTGCTTTCTTTAAGTTTTATCTAGCAGAATATACTTCTTCAAGTAAATTCTTGCGATTAGAAAAGCGCGTTCTTCGAAATTCAAACACAGGTTTATTACAACTGGCATTACGCCTAATATTTGTAAGCCTGCAATATCAAATGTATTTGGTGTTGGTTAATCAACTACTCTGGCTACCTACTTGTATGAATTCCAAACAACATAAATGTCATACATCATACACATACCACGATATATTTAAAAACCTATTTAATTAATATATTATATTTGTAGAGATGTTACTTCAGTAAGAGGACTTAAACAGTTTATGACAGCGTACAATAAGCACATTCCATAACAAATAAGTGTAGAGTATAAATAATACAATTATTTTTCTAACGTCGAATTATGAGGTGATAACTTTCATACAAAAATTAAACGTTTTACTAAGAAGAATTGTATTGTCGTTATTCAAAGTGGGCAGACAAAAACCGTTTGGATCAAGAAAGATGATTGACTGAATGCAATTATCAACATGATTAGATTTTTTGTTGGGTGCTACGTCCCACGAACCCTGTTAAAAGGTCACATGGCGACGTTCAAAGGAAGACTTCAGGTGCCCCTCCGTGCATTGTTCAGACCGGAAAATGCACCGTGTAGAACCACGGACGTTCCATGCTGTAGCTGGCTAGAATTAAATTTTAGTTAAAGAGACATGACAAAGATATTGATTAAAATGTGCTTTTTATTTTGTTTATTCAATTGTATATCAATAACATGATCATAACTTTAAATCAAAGTAAAAGAAACTATTTTATGCATCATGCTCAATAATTATATGAAAACATTCGTAACATTTCACTTTTTTACTTTTAAACCTACCTGCAATGGACAATCATTGGCCCATTCGATGATGGTTGCTGTTCCCGATTGCCATACTGTTTAACAGCTTTTACGAACTCTAGCAATAATTCCGGGGTTTCAGGACAACCCATATCTGGCCACTTCAAATAACTAAAGTGACGAACCATTTTCCGTTGCGCTTTCTTTATATGCAAGATGCGATAGAATATAAAATAACACACATTAGCAAATTGTCATCTTGTTAAATTAATTCCAAACAAACATTAAAAACATGCATCACTTTCTGTTTCAAGTTTAGTCCATGCAATCTGATATGTTTGGCCTGAAAATGACTGTTAGGGCAAGAGACTAGGTTTTAGATTTCGTGTCGGATTTACTTGCCGTCTGTTTCGTAAATATTAATTCAATCTATTACATCTAATTGCAAATGTCTTTTAAAATACAAGTACCATATCTCATAATATCCACTTTACAGCATGCACGTTTTCAAAGGTTTTAAAATTCATCTTTAAAATATGCCTTTTGACAATCCAGAAAATATTCAAGTTGAATAGTACATTACATTTTAGTACATTAAGATGTTCCACTAATCTTCAAACAATGGTATAACAATTAAATGTTATTAAACGATATTCCAACTTACCGTTTTTACTTCAAATATCTTTATATTATAGTCAGACATGTTGGAATCTGACTGAAGAGAAACAACCAAATCTCCAAAGAAAATAGGTTCTCCAAGATCTGGCCAATACTTGTCGCACTTAAACTAAAAATTTACTCTTATTATTAAAGCATACGACAATAACGACACATGCACATAGTAGACATTTTTGAAATAATTTGATATAAAAACAATGATTGAAGGATATTTCATGATTGATTGATAAAAGAAGCTTTGATACCCTTTGTTTATGACATTTCATGCTTTTCTGAATGCAGTATTTAATTAATTCTAAATTCAGCGACCCCTGGGTCACTTATCTGATTCTCTCCCTATAATACTTTATTATGATGAACTGTCACTTCAAAGTTTTATTTTTGAAATATAAATAAACATACCCGTCCCTTTTCCATTAGTTTTGTCAACATGACGATAGTATCGACATTTTGCTCCCAAACCATTCTCCAGAAGTCATCAAAAGTAGCTTGCATAGGACCCTGTGTAGCAATATATTCTCTGCGAGACGAATAACCCTTTACATAAAACATTAAAAATATGAATTAGATTACATTCTTCAAAGATACACGGAGCCCAAAAAATGACATTTGTTTTCTTCCAAAGAAAAGGTAAAAACGTGTTTTTTAATGTATTACTGGATGACATTCACTGTGATTGTACCGATACCAAGAACGCAAAAGAAACAAAAGATGTCGCGGCTATATGACTAATCAGTAACATTTTGAAAACCGTTACATGACACCAAACAAATTATTTTCTGATATTAGGTGGATATAGTCTTTGACAGGAGTTAAATACATACAGGGATATAGTTAGCATTGATGTAGTCAGACCCTTCTATATCATCGGACGGTCGAAGTTTAACCCGAGAATGATCAACTGAAATATCAATATACAGATGTTACACCAAAGACAAACGGCATAGAGTGGCAGTAAATAAAAAAACCACATAAAATATACAATTATACATTTTAAGATTAATTCGATGTATTTCAAAACCATTTGGCAGAAACTGACATTTGGATTTTTTTAAGAATTGTGTTTCCTTAACCTTGTACAACTCTGCAGTGTTCTTTAAGTCTATCTTATATACAGTTTTAATTTATTTAAAGAACGAACTTAAAATATACTTAATACAAAAGCATATGGATGCAATTTCAATACAAACATGGTAGAATATTTGTGTATCTGTTTTTCGGTCGACAACACTGTTGTTCTGCTGCCGTCATTAGATGACTGGGACTCTTCTCCTTCAGTACCTACAAAATAGTTTTCTAATATTATTGATAACTTAAATTTGAAAATAATGAAAGCTACATATAGATACAATTCTTATTCTATGTCTATGTTACCATGACCTTAGCACGTGCTTACTTCAGCTTTCAGAAGGCAGATTTTCTTCACAAATTTTGTATTCATTACTTATAATTTGGTTCTAATCTGCTTGCTTTCATGTAAAACGATGATTATTAAAAAAAGGTTCACATTCTCTTTGGTCTTGGGTATTTATAACGTTTATTTCAAAGAACAAAAATAGTATTAGTAGCGCTCTCTTATATAGCTTTTTCTACCTTGTAAGCATCAACAAAAAGCAAATCAGAATCTCTGTGAAATCTTTCAACAGCATCTGAAAAGTCACTCAGCTTAACGGGTCCTTGTCTGAAAAAAAGATAATACTCGTGATAGATATGAGATACAAGACATAGTACCGCAGAATATTCTTCTAAGAGAATAAAGAAACGCTAGCATGTATGATAACAGAATTGAAAAAATTAAGAGAATTGATAAAGCTAATTCAAACATGCAATTTGGGGTTAACTTGAATTGATCTAAAGAAATTACCAAAATAACAAAATAATTTAATTTCATAACTAACGAAAATGCAAATTTAGATGACTTATATACTGATAAAGAATTAGTTTTGTTTACAAAATTATGTAAAATGGAGATATGAATGAGTGTAAAGTGATATGTGTTTCATGCATATGCAATAGTGCTGAGATGATTGAGATGTTTGGCAGCTGTGCTGTAACTGTTGGGACAAAATACATCAAAGAATATAATGGCCGGAAGAAAACCAGGAAATGCTACAAAATAAACATTTTATCGTACATTCGCTACTCAATGTGCAAGGGAAAGACTTTTATACGAGAAAGTCACCATTTTGTCATATGTTTTCTATTTCGTCTGGCCCACATCGGGGCAAAAATATGAAAGCACGAAAATACAACATTTTGTAAGCGAGGCACATGGCCAATACACAAAACATACGACAATCGCACCACTTTGTCGTATCCTCGTGTCGTCGCCTGTCCTTTTTTGTGGTTTTGGTTGTCGCCTCGCGGAGCAAAAGTACGACAAATCCATGTCTTTGTCGTACTTTCGTGGTTTTACTCGGCGCCCCGTGGAGCGAAAGTATGACAACTGCATGTTTTTATCGTATTTTCGATTTTTTCCTTGGCTCCCCGCGGATTAAAAATAAAATACGACAAATTAATCTCACTTATTTGCCGCCCCGGGGAGCAAAAATAAGACATGTCACAAATCATAGTAGTGAAAGATGGTCATAAGATAAGGGTGTCTATCTCTTAGATGCTGGCCTGATTAAGGTCACGACAATAGTTTTGTTTGCAGCAGCAGTATTGATTGTCAAGGTTCTTGGCGTGAGTAGTAAGTTTAAAGCTTTTAAACTAGATGTGTCTTTAGACAGTTATATTTATATCTTCAACGTTTTCGTTTTATTTTTAAATTCTAAAACGACACTTTAAACTAATGAATTTTACAAAAACTGTTGTGACACAAACAACAATATACACTCTTAACAATTTCAAATTAGTTTGTTATATACTGTTACATACTGTTATGTCAACATAATTTGAGTCCACATCTCATGTGCATTGAAATTAAAATTTCAACGAAATTTAAACAGAACTTAGAGCTGTATGAAATTTAAATTATTATTGTTATTATAATTATTTCATTACTTTTTAAAAGAAACCTTCATTTTTAAATTAAGAATATCTTAGGAAGCTAAACATGGTTACCATGAAAACATATTTATTTTAGCAAATACTATAGGAGGCGCAAACAGTCAGGATGAAGGTGTATGTGGTGCAATAAATATAGAAGTGAATTTTATAAATTAATGATACTTATATATATGTATAGATTACATTATGTACTTACCCTGGGGTACTGAAAAAAAGTTAAATTGTGTGAGCCAGATATCATCCCAAAATATTTCTTATATACAACCTAAGACTGGTATTTATTCTTTAATAGTTTCTTCAAATTGTTTCATTCATGAATGGTGTAACATTATAATTAGGCAGGGTTATCCAATTAAAAGGCTATAAAGACAACCATTTATACACGTCCTGCAGTTTTGTTTATTATTCTTGTTTACAAAAATGTCCATTCCATTTTTTCATCTAAGCGTTTTAAAATCACGCTTCAAAATCGTTTTTTATCATTTCTTAATAAAAATAATCTACGTTTTTTAAAAAATCACGAGCACAAAAGTAGAATATTTGAACATTTTTGTATCACTAAAACACTAACAACATACTTGATATTTAGTATTAGAAAATAACGATAAAATAATGAAATGAATAGACCCGTTGATGTTATTAAATTTGGTTATAAACTTACTTGGAATAGCTTTAAAATACCTGCATCTTAAAAAATGTTAGAAGTAGTTGCTTCACAAAATAATATCAAATGCGTTCAAACTTACGAGTATTGCAATGGTAGTGACGATAGAACTTAAATATATGTTTTACCTATTACTATAAAAAGTGAGTTGTGGTTTTAATGAAACAATAAGAAATTTAAGCATGCCAGTATTTTAACATATTGATCACGTCAATATTCCAGGTTCTATTGAAATTTATGTAAATATTTTATCAAGTTACCAATATGTGTAGCTTATTAATTAAAATAAAAGTTTCGTAGAGTTCCTAGTTTATTCGTTCAAACATTTATGTATCTGAAATACTTTAAAAAAAAATATTTCCTACCTGGAAGGGTTCTTTTTTGTGTGTTCAATTTTATCAAGATGAATTCCTTCATCTGGAGACTGTGTAACCAGTCTACCTTCATCTTTCAAGAAACAACTAAATAGGAACATGGGAAGTATGTTTAACTGAAGTTTGTATAATCATAATTAACTAAGCTCTGTTGGAGTATTTTTACCAGAGCAATCAAGTACGGCATTGTAAAAACTTATTTCGATACGTAATTGTTCAATGAATGGTTAAATAGATAAGTTGTTTCGCAGTTTAATATCAAATCAAGAGTGCAACCGAGACATTAAAATAAACGCCAGAACTGAATAATATTTAAAATCACAAGATTTTCCAAATATAATAGATTGCAGTAACACTTTTTTATATTTCATTTTAGTCGTAAAATGTGCGTTCTGAGCATCGCATCAGTGTTAAATATTTTATCTGATTACAACGAATATGATGCTAGAAGTATATGGAAAATTGTCATAACAACTATGTCTCGAAACTTGTAATTTACTACAAGAATGAAATTGAAGCTCGGTGCTTTTGTCTTAGTTTATACTTGACTAAGTAGAATATTACACAATCATTCCAAACAAAAATTATGGTACATTATTACAGATTATCAAAGCTATACACTTATAATATACTAACGCCAACTGTTTTCTTCTCAGAAGGAAAATCACAACACCAACAACGACCAGAACAACTACTGCAGATGATATACCAGATGCTACAGCAACTGTAAGATCTGGATCTAAAAATATTATGAAAGATACAATATTTTATATATGATTTATAATAAATAAGAAACCCCGGAAGAAAAAAAATAGTCAAGCTTTATTCAAAACATTGTACAATAAATTAATTACTTTTATCTAACGCAAAGATGTCCCATCAAAACGATAAATGCATGGCACACTGCTGAAAGGTTTTTTTTTATCAGAAATCATTATTTATTTCATGAGGGAATCCTATTGAATAAAATCTCCAATAAATAGGAAATAAAATTAGAAAGGACCATGTAGCACTGTATCTGCTGTTGAGTACCATATATAATTATTCTTCAATATGATCAATAATAACTTTACACTTAGACCTTTTCCCGGACGTTTATGCAAACATTCATGTTACAATAATAATAATGATAATAATAATAATAATTTTGTTCGTTTGTTTGTTTCATTTTACGCCTTTTCCCAATAAAATTTCAGTCATATAGGCGGGTAGTTTCCTAACCATTGTTCCTGGAGAGTTACACCAGTACTAGACTACCTTCCTCCGCGCTAAACTACCAAAGCATCTCCCGATGATCGAACCCACGCCAGAGAGGTAACTGCGTTAGAAGTCATCGACTCTAACCCCTCGACCACGGAGGCGGTTACTAATACTACTACTACTACTAATAATAATAATAATTATAATGATAAGAGCAGTTATGTAACACTAACCTGTTGATATAGGATTTGAATACCTCGTCTCAGTGCACCCGTTTATTGTACAAGCAAACGTTTTCACCCTTTATTGAATAATTTTAAATGTGAACTGTGAACATTCAGTTTTACATCTTTCATCATTTCAGTGCAGGGACGAGTATATGTCAGCATATACTTCTATTTTTTTATCGACGGAGCAAGTTAGGTTTTTAACTACATATATTAAAATCAAGATGTAAAGGGAATTACAAAATCATTTATTTCTTTCTTTCTAAGACAAATATCAACAAACAATTTCGATAAATCAATCTGCCGAATAATACAAATCACGTGTTATCATGTACCTTAGTCTGATACAAAGCAGACATAAAATTGATAGATTTGGAAATGATGAGTATGAGATTTACAATTTATTAAAAAAATTAAAAATTTGTTGGAGTCACTATTTAGATACATTTATTGCTATCACAATTATATTTCTTGATACTTTATACATTTTTACGATAGTACTCTGTAGGAGAAAAATGACAAACTGCAATAACTATTTAAAAAATAGAATAAAAAACACAAGAAACTCAATTGAGGTCTAAAAGTCTACGTCATAAACTTTGAGTTCTTACACATTCCAAATGGGGCACTTAAACAGAAAGATAAAAGATATGCAAAACAGTAATAAGAAATAGTCTTAGAAATATATTGAAATCGTATTTCTGTGCTATGATTAGCCGATTTATGTAAAAAGCGTTGCAACGATTTTCAATTTTAGGTCATTTTCACAAAAATCTGGAAAACGATTTTAAATCAAGAAAAATCTTTTAAATTTTGCAAAATACAACATGTATTATAAAAGTAAAAAAGTTTAAAGTTTGAAAGGTTTCAATTTAATTCGGAAAAAGGAGCAAAAAAAAGATAGGAAAATTTCCTTGATAATGGCAGCTTTACTCACAGGTGAATGTATTTTGTTGTTGAGTCAATTCACATTTGTCAATTGAGAAATTAAAAGTTACTCAAAATTCCTAAATGGCATACAATTACTATTTTGCAAGTCTTTCCGATATTAAGTACAAATACCTGTATCTACGCCCTGGTTGTAATTCACCATTACAAAACAGGTCAGCTTGTTTGCCTGAACACTTGCCATCCAGTCCTACAACAAATCTTTGATACGTTTCGACATCACGCTGCGTTACACTTCGCCTTTCCCGGGTACCTACAATGATTTGTTGACTAACTAAACCTTTCATAAAACGTAACGTTTATATTGAATTAAATCGAAGACTACAAAACGTATTTGTATTTTTTTATTTGGAAATCTTTACTTAAACTAATTGGTAAAATATAATCATTATTATAACCATTTATAGCCATATTGTCTAACTATGAAACAATATGAAACAGCAATGGTAAGATAGTAGTATACACAATCTAGTACATACAGAATATTATAATGATATTGCCATTGTTAACGCTACTAAAAGCTTATAGGCATATGCTCGAACCAAATAGTGCGTATGAATGCGTTTGCTCAAGGAAAACACAACTTGCTCATGAAGACTTTGATTAACGCGGCAAGATATCATTGAATTATTAGTCCATGCTTTAACATCTCGTTAATGTCGCCACCAATATTCACTTATTAGAATCTTTTTCCTGTAGGATAATTGATATCACAGTAAGAAAATAAATGAAAATTTTTCATAACAACCTAAAAACACATACCACCATTAATATGTTGACAAACGTCCGTAAGATTAAGATATGTTGCCAAGTAAGGCTTAATAGAATCCATATCCTTTACGTCAAACCACGTTTTATAAACTTTTGATATTCTGTCTGTGAAATTCCGAACACTTCCAAAAAACGGCTCATCTTAGATGATTTTATGAAAAGAAATTTTTTAATAAAGTTAGATAATAACATTATACCTACTATTACATTTTGCTAAATTGTTTAGATTTATTTACTGAACACAAATAAAGTAAACGAGGCATATTCCGATATATTACTTAAAGTGCGATCTTATGCGGTATGCAGGCCCAAATTTCTTAAACGCTCCTTTTTAGCAGCGCTCCTATTGTAATCTTATGAAGTACATGGTCAGTTGATTATGCTATAAAGTTTGTACAACATTTGTTTTTCTTTCTTTTCTTTCAAACTAAAGACTTTTCTCGCAAATAATTGTGTCTTTACTTTCCACTATTTATCAGCAGCAGCTTTATGTGGTCAAAACACGAGCGTACACGAATTCATAATTCATCACATATTAATAGCCATAAAGAAACAAATATTGCTCTTAGCAAGTAAGATAGCTTCGTAACCAAGGCTTACAATACTGGTAACACACTGCCTTATAATATGCATGTACTATGCTACTTTGTTTGCGGTAATCGGCGTTAACTTACCACGAAAGAAATGAAGAGCACTTTTTATACCTTCATACACATTGTCCACTAAATGCAGAAATGAATACCTGTTGCTTGGTCATTTTGTGCAACAACCAATCCCCACTTTGTCGGATATCCGTTACTGGTATTACAGAGGAATGTTTTTAATGGTAGCTTGACGGCTATTTGTAACTCTGTATCCTTCGGTTGATCGTCACTACGCGTCATTAATTGACCAACCTCTGATTCATTGATCCTTAGCGGAGCTTCAAGCAAACATTTATTTTATTCTGACAAAATGTTAAACAAAGCGGATGATAGTATTACATAAAACGAAACTTGACCTCATGATAAAGCTTAAACATATAACAGCCTCGTTTATGTTACAGTGTGTTCTATATTTTAATTTGTGGACGAGTATGTTGCGGATTTGAATTACTGAATTATACTAAAGTTATCATCTAACAGACGACTTTATGATAACGCAAAAGACTGTTCAAATATATGAAACGAAACGATTTGCACGATAAACTTAAAGACAGTCAAGAATTGGAGACAATGTTTATGTGTTGATAACTACAACGACAAGTCAGGTATGAAATAGATAAAATATTTGCTATACATCAAACGTTTACGAAATGTATAATTTTTTTAAGAAAATTACATTTTGGTAGATTTAAAGGGAGGAAGAGCTATTGGTGATTGCGTATGCACCTTTATGATTAAACAAATAACAAAGACATTTTGTTTAAATTTGTTGAAATATATAAAGGTATTTCATTTGGTATGTATCACTTCTTCATATATATTTCTACAACAAATCAACGCATATATAGTAAAATGAAGGAGACTTACCACCTGGCTGAACATTAACTGTTTCCGTTACCACTGAGCCATTTCCAGCACTTGTATTAGCAAATACCTTACAGGGAAAGGAAATACGTCAAAGTTATGTTATTTAATCACTGTTAAATGGTAAGGCAAAATCGGACATAGTTCGAAGACATATTTGAGATATATAAAAGATACGTTTTGCATGTAATTAATTGAACTATATTGACTACGCAAAATGTTTAAGGATGTAATGTTTATATATCTTTAAGCATTATAATATGTTTTTCCGGTAACTAGTGTGTGTTTTTTATTTGTCAAAAGGAGAGACGTTTAGCTCAATAACATGTTTTAAAAACAAAAATAAACAAGTGACGTCATGAATGTTTTTTCTTAGCTAGAACCACCGACATTTCTGTTACTGGGTCCTACAATATTTAACGGACAATCAGTTTACAGGAAAAAAGCTATTACTGCTGCAAAGTGCTTGGGACTTTTTTGCTTTTTTTTAAAAAATCATAACATTCCGAATTGTACACCACATTTTCTATTTCAAAGTAAATAACAACAAAACTACTCTCATATAAATATTGTTGATTCAGTTCTTTATCTACTAACATGCCCTTTTGTTTACTGGTTATTTCATGACCTGGTCATGAGAGGGAATAATCTGTTCTGCGCAGGCCCGAATATGGAGTCCCTTAATGTTTTTTTTAGATTGGTTTTACTTTTAATTCTTTTCAACGTTACCTCAAGAGAAAACCGTAACATATTTAAATGATAAAAGTAATTTCAAATTTAGTCTAAACAGTATCTGGTTGTTGTCTTTTACAACGAAGTGCAAATTAAAAAAACATATAAGGAAACGGGTAACGCCCATGGGAAAAAACTCTACATGAAATATAAATAAAATTGATTTTGTGGCTTTTGTAACATGCAACATGATGACCAAAAGGAAACTGTATGACAAAGAACAGAATTCCATTTGAATATTAAAATGTTTCATACGTTTTATGGATTCATGAAGAATCAAAACGTTATTGGGAAGTTTATAGTGTTAATTTCAGTTAGTACCCTATTATATTGTTAAGGTGACCTATAGCCCTATAAGGGAGGGGTGTTTCTTTTTTACATTTTGTTTATTATGTAATTTTTTCATGTTACGGAAAACACTTTCATATAAATAAAAGTTTATTATTACTATTATTTTTTTGGCCTCTTATAACAGGCAATGGCTGCCGTGTCTTAATTCAGTGAATACGGGTTTTTCAAAATGCCTTTACCTTGCTATTCAAAAATGGTAGTTTCCGGCTGGTTACTTTTAAAAGATTAAATTTCCCAATTACGACTTCAAAAAAAATTTGAAAACACAAATGTCCGGAAAAATTGAGTTTGTTTTTACACTATTTTTTCTCTTATAATGCCCTTTTTTAAAGGACAATTTTCTACCGGTTTAAATGCTTAATTTCATTGGTTTGATAAAGGGGAATGTTTAGTGCATTAAAGAACCCCCAAAATTATTTGGGTAAAATTTCATTTTTTGTATTATTTTAAAAAAAGTTTCAGATAAAAAAACTTCAATATTTTGTTCCGGTAAAATATGAAGGCTCCCCAGAAAAGAAAATTACTTTATAAAATACCTTCCTTAAATAAAAAAAACAAAAGTTTAGTAAAAGGTAGGGGGATGGGGTGGGAGAGGGGAAGTGGTTTGAAGCATAAAAAACCCTTAAACAATTCAGCAAACGGGAGCCCACTTTTAAGCTTAAAGCCCTTAGTTCAAACACTACGGAAATCAATCAAAATAATTTACAAGGAAGTTTTAAATAAGAATGTGCAACTTACATCAATCAAAAAAAATAGAAAGGACTCTCCAAGAAAACATACCTTCAACAATAAATTACCGGGGAACAATCCACTGTAATTATAGTACATTGTGAGCTGTTTTTTGAAAGAACGTATGGTCATTCTAAATAAAAATGAGTGTTTTTTCAACTATTCAATCTAACAGCAAATTTAACAATAGTCTACGAATAACATTCATCATATATAAACAACCTTTGAATAAATTATCTATGAAAGGACCGGGTTATTTCATATCATAATTTTCATAAAAGCACACTTTTCACTTTTATTTAAGTCCGATATCATAGATAATCGTAAACACTTCAGAAAAAATGGCATACTTGTAATCAAAACACGTGTAAGTAACATCAATATACTATTAAAGATATTTAAAATACATACACTGCTGTTTGTGAATACTATGGAATAATTCTGAATGATGCCGTTTCTGTCCCTGATGCTTGGTTCATTCCACACTACATAAACAGATCTCTGTTTCGTGACATCTTTCTCTGATTTTATTTTCAGATAAGAAACTTTTCCTGGCTCTGATGACAAAAATAAACTATATCTTTATATCACTCTTTTTCAGAAGGTAAAGCTGATAAATACCAATTTTCATCTAATATTCATTAAAAAAATTCCAAAAAATTATCATAAAAAAACCAAAAAAAAAAAACAAAAAAAAACTAAGGACAAAACTGATATACTTTGCTAGAAAATGAAAGAATTCTGCAATGCAGAGGCAGTCATTTAGGTCATATTTGGCGTGTCATATTTGTGCCCGCTTGGATGCTAGCAAATACTACATGCTAAATATCGAACCCTATTGTGAGACCAATTTTAATCCAAGGGACCTGAGTTTTATTACTTATGATGACCAGGTGATGTACATGCTAATCACGAGAGGCAAATGTAAGGTATATATCAGTCTAAAACTTGACCGTTATTCAGCGCTTATTGCTAAGCGTTATACATTATAGAAAGATTAGTCTCTTTGCTACATGTATGGCTTGAAAATTCGGAATTTACATACAAAATGAAATCAATTTTGACTTGAACTTTGATAATTCCCCTTTTTTAAATTTAAACATTTAAACGAGGGTGGAAAAACTGTCTTGAATAAACTTAAAAATTTTTTTTTTATATTAACAAAGAAAAAAATTTGCAAAAAATTTAAAGGCACTGTTATCCAAAACACAATTTTCTTACACGTTACTTGTGTACGTAGAAACAAAATCGTATTTATTTGATTAAATAAAACGAGGGGAAAATCACGATATTGGTAAAATCATAACAAACATACTGTCTTCTGCGGTCTTCACACGAAATGTCGCAGATGTGTTTCCACGATCAGTTGATGCAGTCACTGTGATTGAATACGTCCAAAACTCGTCTAGACCCGTCAAAGTGCATGATCTAGCTTTAAAACCTAGAAATTAAAATAAATTGAATGCTATTGACAGACATATTTGGAGAAGAATATTGTCTTCCCGTAATAAAGTAAAACAAGAGGCCCATTGGCCTGAGTATTCTACAGCAGTTTATATATGTTTTCTTTTTTGCGTAAATAACTGTATTACATTGATTAAAATCATATAAAAATTGTAATTTCCATACATTGTTTTAATATAATATAATGTATAATATCATAATATATTGTGCAACTTAAACTTATATCCTCTCCCTTGGGCCTAAACCCAAAATACAAAGGGTCAAGTATTCTTAAGTGTTAAGGCCTCCCAACTTGTTAAAACTAGAGTACAATAAAGTGATAAATACCCACCCCAGCAACAATGACTTTTGGAAATTTAAATGGTCTGAAGCTAAATTTGAACTCAACCTACAATTCATGAAGTATCAACTGTGTAAAATAATTCTTAAATAATGTTATCCTCCAGAAACCATTTTCTATTTTGAGTTACAGTGACCCTTGATCACAGGGGGTACAAAAGCAAGATGGTCTTCATATAAGCTTATCAAATACCAAGTTTGATTGAATATCTTATGCTTAACTGTAGTTGTTGTCCGGAAAACTATGTTTCTATTTTAAGTAACGGTGACCTACACACAATTAAGGGGGTCCAAAAAACCCAAAATAAAACAAAATAAAAAAAAAACAACAGCAAACAAAAAAGAACCGGTTGAACCGGGTGATGCTCCCCGAGTAGGTTTTTATACCTCGTGTAGTGTCAGTGTTATGTCACAGACAAAGTTCAAAGCGTAAAAATGAACAAAGGGCAATAACTATAACCAAAACTAAGCTCGGCAGAATTATGGTTCTTTTGCATTGCACTTCTATATAAAGAGACCAATCTTCCTACAAAGATTCATGTTGATACATCTTATGGTTTCAGAGTTATGTCCCGGACAAAATTCGAAGAAGTATAAAATGAACAAAGGGCAATAACTCCAAAATTAGGCAAGACAGAGTTATGGCTTTTTGCACTGCACTTTAACTTAATGAGACCTATCTACCTTCATATTTTCATGTTTATATCTCATATAGTTTTAGAGTTATGTCCCGGACAAAGTTCAAATTGTAAAAATGAACAAATGGCAATAACTCCAAAATAAGGCAAGAAAGAGTTATGGTTCTTTTACACTGCACTTTTTCTCAATAAGATATATCTACCTACAAAGTTTCATGTTGATATCTCTTTTAATTTTAGAGTTATGTCCTGGACAAAGTTCAAAGTGTAAAAATGAACAAAGGGCAATAACTCCAAAATTAGGCAAGACAGAGTTATGGTTCATTTGCACTGCACTTCTACTGAATGAGATATATCTACATACTAAGTTCATGTTGATATCTCTTATAGTTTTAGATTTATGTCCCGGACAAAGTTAAAAGTGTAAAAATGAACAAATGGAAATAATTTCAAAATAAGCCAAGACAGAGTTATGGTTCTTTTGAACTGCACTTCTACTTAATGAGATCTATCTACCTTCAAAGTTTCATGCTTATACCTCTTGTTGTTTCAACGTTATGTCCTGGACAAGAATAACGGACACACGGACGGGACGGAGGACGGACAAAGCGGAAACTATATGCTCACCCTTTGGGGAGCATAAAAAACACGGGTCTTCATATAAGCTTACTATATTATACAGAGTTTATTCACAAAGTTTCATTCCTAACTAAAGTTATTGTCTGAAAACCTTTTTTCTATTTTAGTAACGTTGACCTTGACCTTGACCCAACGGTGTTCGAATACAATACCAAGCCAGGCCTTCCTATATATCAAGTTTGATTACAAACTCTAATTCCTAACTATTGTTATTGTCCGAAAACACTTTTTTTCTATTTTTAGTAGCGGTGACATTGACCTAGATTCCGGGGGTCCAAATATAATACCAAGTTACGATGCCCCCTGACAATAATCATCCAATGGGGACTAAATGCAATACCAATCGGGATTTCTATATAAGGTTGCTATATACCAATTTGGATTACAATTATGGTTATTGTCCGAAACAATGATGTGGACCAACCAACCGACAGGCTAACTTCTATATACCACCCTTACCTTATTTGAGGGGGTATACAATGTTTACTTTACAATATTGTTATTATGATATATTTGCCAAACTACTCGTGTAATATTATAGTGAAATTAGCAGATTTTATGTGTTTAAATCTATTTTACAAGGTTATGCCGATTTCGTGAATGATGCATCGGAGCAATGTTTGTTGCCTCATAAAAGTATCCCAATCATATTGTATTTGTTCCCTTTTCGTTAATATATGACATTCGTTGTTCTGCAAATGTTTTAGGTTTACCGAATATGAAAAGAAAAAACAACAAAAAACAAAACAAAAAAAAAAAAAAAAAAACAAAAACACGGGTCTTCATATTAGCTTTCTTTATACAGAGTTTGATTTCAAAGTGTCAATTCTAACTAAAGTTTTTGTCTGAAAACCATTTTTCTATTTACGTAACGATGACCTTGACCTTGACCATGGGACCCGAACCTAGACCCAAGGGCCATTGATTTTACAATCTGGCAACTTTTCCTTATCATAACTATGTACTTAATTCATAACATTTATACGAAAGAGCAGAGGAGAGGATTGTCAAAGATCTAATGCATTTTCACTACATAATCAACCCCCCCCCCCAACCTCAAAAAACCAAAACCCTGGACCTTTGTGAAATTCACAATTTTGAAACAACATTCTCTCTTATCATTACTTTGCCTTTACATTATTTCCAAAATACCCAAGAGCAGTGGAGAATTTTTTTAATGTAAATGTAATTTCACAATATGTTCAACAGAGCCCCGCCCTAGCACCAACACCCCTGACCCTGAGGGCCATAAATTTTACAATTTTGGTAGAGGGCTCAATGCTTATTACAATCATGCCAACAGTTGGACTGTCTGATGACCAAGAGTAAAAAAGATAATTAAAGATTGCATTAAATTATGGCATAAGCCCCATCCTCAGGCCCCAGGAGTGCAGGGTCCATGTATTTCACAATCTTTGTTTCCCTTTTCCCACATATGTTTATGCCGACATTGATTGAAATTGGTTAAGTGGTTCCAGAAAAGAAACTTAAAATATTGAAGAATTAATGTATTTTTTCTACATAATCATTAGAGTCCCACACTCCAAAAAAAAAAAAATAATAAAGAAATAAAACAAAAAACGACGCCCCTGACCCTGGGGGTCATAAAATTCATAATTTTGGAAAAAAACATCCTCTCTCAACATAACTATACATTTACTTTGTATACTTGATAACCAGGAACAGACTGCTGTGATGTTGATGGCGGGGATAAAGAAGAAGACTTTTTTTAAAATTAGCATTAATCTTTATGGGCATTAATTTTATCCCCAATAAATAGCTTTATCAAAATAGTGAATTTGGTTTCTGGTTCCAAACCCACCGCACGAAGCACGGACAGGCGCTGAGGCATGGATTTCACATTTTTTTTTTTTTGTTCTATTTCTATTTTTTTTTTTTTTTGTCAATCTTTTTTTTTTTTTTGCAATTTTTTCATTCCTATTTGTAATGCGTTATTTTTTTTTTTTCTAAATGTTTTTTTTTTTTAAGTTTTCTTTTCCTTTTAATTTTTTTTTTTAGGGTTTTTTTTTCCAGAGAGGAAGCTTTTTAAGAATTGTAATACGTCATTACCGCATCTTTTTAAAGCACGCTTCTTTTTTTTTTGAGGCCATTGAATATTTCATTTTTTTTTTGTTCCTTATCACCCATAAATGCTTTATCCAAAAATAGTTGAATTTGGTTCAGTGGTTCCAGAGAAGAAGCTTGAATGTTAAAATTGTAACGCACGACGCACAAAGCACGACGAATGACAAAACGGATAGCAACACAGGTGACTTAACAAAAATTGGAAGGAAGGTCGACGTTTTCATCAAGGCTCTCGCCCATATCTGAAATACATGTTTAACGAAAGGTACCAGACGTTTTCTTTCTGAAGCACATAGAAAATTTCCATATATTTCCTTTGTAGTTTTGACTTGAATCCGAACTTAATGTAAAAGATTGTAAAAAATAACAAGATCCACCGCCTGGCGGGGGCAATGCTCAAAGCAAACAAATGAAAGGTTAACAAAATCTTTAAAAATATGTGACTAGCTTAAATTCAGCTGGTAACAAAGTTCAATGTTTTGTACACCTGAAACTGCGCACATGGTCCAAATTTCATAGCTGTACATCAAAGTGCAAGATGGTAGGTCATAAGGTCAACATTTAGGTCAGCTTTTATCAAAGAACAATTTCACATTTTAAAGTGTGTATATTGTCAAAGTTACATAGCTGTACATTAAAGTACAAAAATTAGGCCAATAGATGAATAACTAGTTCAGCTGATATCACAGTTCGAGTTTTACATCTTAAACTGTGCACATGGCCCCAATTTCATAGTTAAAGGATAAAAATTACATGACTTCAATAATTTGGCATTGACAGTCGAGGTCAATTAAAAGTCAAGCCATCTGAATAATTCAATATGTTTGATTGGAGAAGGTCAGTTCAACCTTTAGGACGGTCTTGCCCAAAATGATGTTCGTCCAAATATGAAGATAATCCAATATATAACCAAGTTATGTACAGTCAATTATAGAACAATCAGTTAAGTTCAATTATTTAAGCTTCAAGTTCAAGATTATTTATGAGTAAAGATCAATTTGAGTTTAATATACATGAAGGCCATATGCCGAAGATTATTTTGTCTTAATATGGTCTACCCAAATTATAAAAACAAAGAAAATTCCCAGTTATATATGTTTTTTGGGTTTTGATTAGTACAAGTTTGGGTTTTGTCCAATTTATAAATAAAATTTCTGTAAAAAAGCCCAAATCAGGGAAAAATAAACCCAATATTCATAATTTTTAAATTGGGGAAGGTAAAGGAAATTTAACTCAAGGTCAATTCATTTTAACCTTTAAAAGAAAGTATTGTCTAAAGGGTTGTTTTTGTTAATACATTGATAAAGTACCAAGTTACAGTCAAATGTAGCAAAAATCGATGAAAATTAAATAATTTAACTTTCAAGGTCAAGTTTATTTATGAGACAAGGTCAATTTAAGTTAAACTTACATAAAGGTCTAATCCTAAAGCATGTTTTGTTTTCATATGAAGTAAATTCATTCATTTATAACAAAGCTATAGCCAGCAAAATAAAAAGAAAGAAAAAAAGGAGAAAACATTCAAGGGGCAAAGGTGATTTATAAGTTACGGTAAAGGATCTGTATGGTTAACTGATGGTCTATTCTAGAAAATTGTTCTTTTAAAGTTTGAAGACAATTGATTAAAAATAGCAAAGTAAACGCCACTTATAGCAAAATTCTAGCAAACTTTGAAGGTAAAGGTCAATTATGATTAAAGGTCAAGTTTTAGTCGGTCTTGTCCAAAGGGTTGTTCTGGCCAAGTATGAAGACAATACACCAACAACTGAAAAGTTATAATCAATCGGACGACAATGGCAACGCCAACATGACTGTAACAATAAAAAAAATAAAAAAAAAATGTCGAGCTATAAATAATATGTATAAATAAAAGAATTTTATATCACTCAACTCAAAGCATAGATTAATAAACTCTAAAAAATCTCGGCGTCTTGATAATTTTATTCCTTTCATGTACGACACTGAGTTTTCTTATGATATTTTTTGTCTTACAAATGTATAAGGGAATTGATATAGAGTGGATCAAAGCCAAATTAAATATATTGCAAGCTTAGTTTCTAACCATGGACAGTATTTATGAATGTATTCTACCTTCCACCACCATATCACCGGCTTACATAGATATGAATTGGTGTTTATTGTAGAATATTGATATATGCGCAAATACATATACATTCATTTAACTTGGAATGGAATTTGGTTTAAATGACATACCATGTACTTCGCTATTTTCAAGTTTAATATTTTTGTTTTTATCATCGACTGGTATACAAAAGTATCGGGTCGGACCAGTATACAAATCTGGCGTGTCCCATTTTACGTCAATTCTTGTAGAATAGGTTTTGTCTGCTCTTGGATTCCTTGGTTGATAAGGTTCTGTTAATCAAAGCATACAATTTGATTTTATAGACAATTTTCTCTTTATAAAATTTCAAACAGTATGTTCTTTGACTAAATATGCACATAAAGAATGAGTCGATATCATCAAACGAAATTTTTTTGACAAACAACAACTGTACACCTATCGTTACTTAAGCTACCGTACACAAACATAACTTATTTTTGATAATCTTCAGTGTGGCCCACAAATTTGCATGATTTGAAAATACTTCTGACATAGCATTAAAGTCTCGATGCTTGATTGTTTACCGGCTGCAAAGTATAACTTTATTGATTAAGTACATTAATATGATATAAAGAGCTAAAAGCATATAAGTGCAAATTTTTTTTTAGATTTAACAAAAAGCAAATTATTAAACTTATCACTATTAAACTAGATTCAAGTAATTAATTTGTAGCTATTCAATATACTTACTGGCAGTATCTGTCCGCTTTTCAATATCAATGGAACGGTTACCTATACCCTTTTCAGTGCTAGCGGCAAGGCTAAACGAATAGTTACTGTATGGTAACAAATTCTGAACCACGAATTGAGTCATATTTCCATCAGTTTCATTTTCCCAAGTTGTTGACGTGTCATTATTAGTTATATTGATAGAATACATAGTAATAATTCCATTTGTTTCACACGGAGTTACCCATGTAAGGCTTGCGTTACTAGAAGTTGTGATTATTGTTAGGTTTCTAACGTCACCAGGTACTGAAATTGTAAGAGTTATGTTTTTTAATATACAAATGTAAACTGCTATATGAAAAGCTATAAGATGCACTTGACATATCAACATGAAAGACAAAAGTTAAAATAAACAAGAGGGCCATGATGGCCCTAGATCGCTCACCTGACTTATCAAACTCATCCAAACAATTACCTAGACAAGCATTCTGACCAAGACTCATGACAGGTGAGTCAAAAATGTGACCACTACAGTGTTGACAAGGATTATCCATATTTGAGCAGTGCGACCTAGTTTTTTACCCAGGTGACACATATTCAAACTTGACTTAGAAATCACCAAAACAAACTTTCAGAACAATTTCCAGGATACTTGGATCAAAACAGTAGCAACTAGAGTGTTAACAAGATTGTTCTATTTTAAGCTCCGGTGACCTAGTTCCACGTGCGATTTCGAACTCATCCAAGCAATTACCTAGACAAGCATCCTGACCAAGTTTGATGATAATTGAGTCGAAAATGTGACCACTAGAATGTTAACAAGGTTTTTCCATATTTGGGCGGTGTGACCTAGTTTTTCATCCAAGATGACCCATGTTCGAACTTGACTTAGAAATCATCAAAACAAACTTTCAAACCAATTAACAGAATAATTGGATCACAACAGTAGCCACTAGAGTGTTAACAATATTTTTCTATTTTTAGTTCCGGTGACCTACTTTTTCATCCGAGATGACCCATGTTAGATTTATTCCCAGCAATGACCTAGACAATTTTCCTGACCAAGTTTGATGACAATTGAGTCAAAATTGTGACCCCTGGAGTGTTAACAAGGTTTTCTATTTTTAACTCCTGTGACCTAGTTTTTCATCCGAGATGACCCATGTTCAAACTCATCCGAGCTATCACCAAGACAAGCATCTTGATCAAGTTTGATGATGATTGATGCAAAAATGTGACCGCTAGAGTGTTAACAAGGTTTTTTCTATTTTTAGCTCCGGTGAACTACTTTTTCATCCGAGATGACCCATTTTCGAACTCATCCGAGCCATCAATTAGAGAAGCATCCTGACCAAGTTTGATGATAATTGGGTCAAAAATGTGACCACTAGAGTGTTCACAAGGTTTTTCTATTTTTAGCTCCTGTGACCTAGTTTTTTATCAGAGATGACCCATGTTCGAACTCATCCAAGCAATTGACTAGACAAGCATTCTGACCGAGTTTGATGATGATTGGTTCAAAAATGTGACCGCAAGAATGTCCACAAGGTTTTTCTATTTATAGCTCCTGTGACCTAGATTTTCATCGGAGATGACCCATGTTCGAACTCATCCATGCAATTGACTAAACAAGCATCCTGACAAAGTTTGATGATGATTTGTTCAAAAATGTTACCGCTAGCACAGTGTTCACAAGCAATTGTGGACGTATGACGGACGACGGACATTCACCGATCCTAATAACTCACCCTGAGCAAGCTCAGGTGAGCTAAAAAAGAAATTTCGTATATTGATTATTATTTTTACTTATCAGTTAATAACTTTTCCATTTGAAGTCTTAACCACAGTTATAGTTTTTGAACAAAAAAAAGAGAGAGAAAAAAAGAACCAGATCAATTTAGAATTGGGTGAGAAAATAAGAAGAAAGATAATGTCACCAAAACATTAATAATTAATGGCACACACTGCCCGAAGAGAAGATGACATGAAGAGATGACCATGAGCGAGTGGTTAATGAGCCGGACAAATAATCCAAGGATTAATGGCCGCATAGGTTAGTACCCTACCAGGGATAAGTCGTTATTTCCTTGAGCATGAAACTTCTTAAATTAGTTTTTTTTCTATAATGATCACGACTTCCATCACATTCGAACTAAAATGTTTGTACAATGTATACCAGAAATTGTTTTGCGATAACAGAAGTTTTTATCACTACCGTAACAATCAATATATGTCGCACATCAAAGTATTTCCTTTTCAAAATACATAATCATTACTACTAAATTCTGTAAAACCTAAATGTAAAATAAATGAAGCTAAGTGGCAAGATAAAGCCCTACTGGATGAGAAATTGAAATGCATAGTTATAATGATACTTACTAGATGTATTTGTTCTAACATAATAAGCGTCACACCATCCAACTGGTCCTTCACCTACCTTGGTGGATGCACTCACCGTAATATTGTAATACCAATACGGACGCAAATTTGACACTTCATGATTAGACTCATTGTTTGTATATATTGTTTCCTCAACTATTTCACCGTCATGAGAATCCCAGCACGTATTATTTATCCATGTATATCTTATTGTATAATTGGTGATAACACCATTTCTATCATCCTCGTCAGGGGGAACCATCGAAATATTAAAACCTTCCTCAGTAGGAATAAGTGTGCGTATACTCGGAGCTGCTGAAGGAACTACAATGATAAAAAGTGTCATAAGTTATGATATTGAGAAAGAAATCATCAGCAGCATCTTAACTCAAGGCGTTGGCTAACACCCGGCTATGTTGAATAATAACAATATACATAGATTGTCAGGGAAAATAACAATTGGAGAAACAAAGAAAAAAAATAACATAAAGAAAAATAAAACAGCTGAAATATGTGCTATCATCATGATACTGAATTTGGACCACAAAAACATTTATAATTATATTTATAATGCACAAGTTTGAATTACGTCAACTTTCTTTTTAAGATCATAATGTATTGCCCTGATGAATGACGTAAATTTACTTTAGATTCAACATATTTCGTAAGTATCAGAAACACAATTTTGTGTTGTTATCTAAATAAACTAATTCCACTTTCTTGATATATTGAACTATACAGACATTACAGTTTCAAATATGCATTTATTCGAAAAATAAGAAGTTTAAGTGAAGGTTTTTGTTTGTTTGTTTCTGGTTTTACGTCACATCGACACAGTATAGGTCATATCACGACGTTCCAGCTTTACTGATGGAGGAAGACCTCAGGTGCCCTTCCGTGCATTATTTCAGGCACGAACGGGCATTAAGTGAAAGTAATCATATTTGAGACCGTTGTATGAACAATGCTTATAAAATAAGCAGTCAAACACATTAATGATGCCAATTTATGATGTTAGTGAGTTCTTTATTAATCGTTTTATTCCATCTTTCCGGTAAGAAAAAAAGTATTAGTTTTAGGTAATTGTTGCATAATTGACAATGTTTCAAAAGTTATCCAACACGATCAATTATTTACCTTTATCATATTCTTGAGAGAAATACAATACATAACAAAATATTAAATCTTGTTTGAAAAATATTGACGATTCAAGTAGACTTTTATATAAGTTTTATAGAGCCACAAAAAATATCATATCAGTTAAGGATGAGTTTTTAGTTTATCAACCCAACTTCAGATATGGTGATAAACAACTATGGTTTTAAAATAAAAATCAAATCAAATCAAATCAAAAATGCATATCTGAACAATGAGTTTAATTGAAACAGGTATCTTTCACATTTGATTAAAGAGAAAGAGGTTGGAAACCGATTATTTATTCAATGGGGGTATCTTTATATCGTCCTATATACACTTATCTAGATACAATTTTGAACATTTATGCAAAATATCAGGATGGTCTACCATCTCGATTCGGAATTAGTTCATTCATTTTAATTAAAGAAAACATGTCCAAGATTTAAAAAAAAAGTTCTTATAAGACAAAAAGAATAAAATTGAGAAAAAAGGTAAAATAATAGCCTTTAGTAGGGCTTGAATCCTCGCCCGACGTAAACCAAGTATCGTCACTTAAATTGAACACTGGTTTGTATTGAGGATAGATTCATATATTGGCACTTGTTAACAGTCATATTGTATTGAAAGGGACAGATACTTTAATACTGCTTTTTGAAATATAGTTCTTTAAAATGTGAATATAACAAATAGCAGCTTTTTCCGATTCTGGTGTAAACATGTATATATCTGTGTCTTTCAAATAACTGCCTAAGGGGCTAATGCTGATTTTAAGTATCGTGCGTGATAGACATTGTTAATTTTCATTTATTTCGAGAGCGTCTTTGGTTAGCTGGTGAAATGAAAAGTGTTATTAAACATCATAAAAAAGGACATTGAATATCATAGTCAACAGTTTTTTATGTTATGTATTAATTTTTCGTTGAATCCATTGTCTTTGATTCGCCCTCCTCTCCACACCTACCAATAGAAGTGCTATGAAAACCTGGATGTTATCGGTAGAATAACTTACGATCGCTTTCTGTTTCACTGTTTAACCATGTAAAGTTGCCCCAGCATTTTGTGTATGCTCTGACAGTGACATTATACTGTCTGTAAGGATGTAATTGTTCAACCACGTCTTCTCTTGGTAACTCATGAACAACTTTCATACTATACTGTGTCCCATTGCACTTATCGAGGTCGCCTAAGCTTACTTCCTTGTAACAAGAACAAAGGTAAAACGATTAAATGTTATGAAGGTCAATAACACTATTTGTTACGACAAAATCATAAAATGTAAAAAGTACTGAACATATACTTTTAAATATAAATATATTGCTGGTATAAAACTATGTAAGGTATTAATTCAATAAGAATTTACAACATCAACTTATGTCATGATTCACTTCCTTGTAGCCGTTAGAACTATTCTTTTCTGTATTCTGAGATTAATATGGTGCTTTATGCATGGAAAATAATATAAATTTCAAATTGATGTTAAAATAAAATTTAATGTATTTATTTTTCAAGATTTATTTTTTCAGATATGACTTTGGTAAAACCATAAATAAATTTATGGTCAATACAGCTGTAGCTTATCACATTTGCGTTCTCCAATTGTTTCTTAAAGAAGTTTTGCTGTTTATTACCTGATACACGTCTTCGTCATCAACACATATGCTTGATAAACAGTATGTATGATTTGCTTTAAGGCAGCCTGACGTTTTATCAACAACAAGCAATTGGTACTTCCTTACAAATCCGTTTGGTGTGGTAGGCTCATTCCAGGAGACATTTAATGAACGTTTTCCCGGCTTAAGGCATGATATCACAGGATTATTTGGAGCTGAAATTATGCATCATATATAATTAATAAATGTAAATTCAAATGAGTCTTTTTACTTATATATAAAATTGAATAAACATTAGCAAGTTAAAATATTTACAGAAAAAACCAACACTAACAAAAATACGTTTTCTCCTTACCTGTTTCTTTTGATGTTTTGTTCAATTCAATATGAAGAGGACAGCCAATCTGAGATCCGATATGAGTAGTTATACTGACATTACAATGACTTCCGGGATCAATGCCTGTAACTGTGGATTCTAGTTCCGTTTCATTACGAAATGAGTACGTTTCCATATTGCTATTTTCATTTGGACTCTTACATGTGAAGTTAACATCGTAACTATGAGCATCTCCTTTAGTAGGTTTTGTCCATTCAATTCGTATAGAGGTTGTAGTCGTGTTAGCAACAAATACATTTTGTACATTTTCAGGACCTAAAATTATATATTACAACAGGAGCAATATAACTCTTAAATATCAAGCCTTTTTCATCCGATAATTGATATTAAATAGATTGCCTTTTAAAAAAGAGAATAAAGACAATTAATACATACATAAATACTAATATCATCTTAGTATAATATAAGTATATAATAAGTATAATAAGTTTTGGTACACGTTTTTGCTGTCGCTGCTTAGCATACCTTACTGTCAACTTAAACAAATTTTTGACATTTGAAATTAATTGATGGTTATTACATGTATATCTCCATGTGGGTAAATTAGAATTAAATAAAATTTACGTGTTATATGAAAAGAACAGTTCAATCATTTGTTTCTTCAATTTATCTGAATATTATAAAGCGTCAATTTATTCTTCATGCATAGCATAGATCTGTAAATATCCAATTACATGCACAAAAAGTTGGCAAATAAAATTTCTAAGGTTCTACTATTTGTATCACTAAGACAGAAAACATAAAAATCAAGTTTTTGAAAATGTTTAACTTACGCGTAAATGTTTTAATTGTTGTAAAGTTTTCACTGTTTATTCCAGTAAGTACAGTGTACACCTTAAATTCGTAGAATGTTCCTGGTGTAAGATTTGGTATACATGTAATTGCTTTCAGGTCAATGCGATTAATTTGTTCTACTTTTTCCACATCATCGTCCTTGTACTTTATTTCGTATGAATCAAATAAACTGTCGTTATTTTTAGAAAGATCTATAGCAACACTGCTGAAATTCGACTGACTGAGAACTGCGACGGGCTTATTTGGAGCTGAAAATATCAAGCAATTTAATCACTTACACGCAAAATTTTCCTATTCAGTAAATGAAAGTTTACAGAAGGAATACGAGTTTCAAACATTGCCATAATCTTTGGGTATCTCACTAAAAATCGTTCAGTTTTATAAGTGAACAGACATGAGATACAATCATTCAGATTATGACATGGGATGACGTTCATTCATTAAAGATAGATTTTTTGCAATGAGCAAATTTGTTTAATATTTAAATGTAGGTATCAAATTTGTGTGACATACATTTAAAATGTTTTAAATCAAAATAAGAGCCTTGTAATTGACTGGAATTGTATGTACAGGTTACCTGTATAAGAATACCCTTCTACCGAGAATTCACTGAGCAGTTTATCTTCAGTTGTATTCTTTACAGTATATAGCGTAACTTTATAATATGTTGCACTTTCAAGCATGCCAATAGTCTTCTTCAATATATTCTTCTGCTGGGTATAATCTTCACATGTCACATTGCAAATACGGAGTTGAAATAAATCGTACATGTCATCCAAAACATTATATGTTATAGTAAAATTTTTTGCAAACACTTGTTCCTTTGGAATTGCAATAGAGGTAGGCGGGTTTGGTCCTGTAAAAATATAACAAAATAGATAATACGTATTTGGTTCAATCTTTAAAAAATCTGTCCGATCTAATTCAGATTATAAGATAATAAGAATGTTGCAAAAAAAACTTTTAGTATGTGAGAAATACAAGGACATGTTCTTGTGTAATATGCATATGCCACTTTGCGAAGAAACTTCATACTTATATGACTTTGACACATTTTAATGCTAAAACTTAATTTTTTTTATTGCATACATTCATTTTATAAAAATGTTTCAAAGAGATCATGCTTGTTCGAAAGTATGACTGCAAAGCTGGCAATAAGTAAGGGAGCTTTATACCCGTTTCGATAAGTATCATAATATTATTGCCGGATTTGCATTGGTTGATATTTTTTCAAATCAAGTGCATCTTGTTTCAAATAGTACGACTGATAAATTTTGCTCCAAAATTCAAAGTGTCACTGTCAACCACTTGTAAGGATTCTGTTGCAAAAATGAATGTATAATACTACGAAAGCGAGACGATGAAAAAGTAAAAAAGTATGACGTCTATGATACATAATGAAAAACAACACAACACATTTGAAAGAAGCCTGATAATGATATCTTCATCGAAAAATAGGAAATACTACGAGAATTCAAACGCAAACACTAACTAACAAATCATATATCTAATTTCCAGACATTATTCAGATAAAACATGTACAACCTCTAATATCATAAGGGCTTATAATAATCATTAAACAACTCGTATACGAATAAAATAACAAGGTTCTGGGGATTTTTGTTTTCACAACAATAACGACCGTATATTCATTCATACAAATTCATTCAATTTAAGATCGATTAAATACTTCGCATACATTATTTATACCACAGTTGCTTGTTTGATTATATATTTTTGTGAAAACTCTTGAAGTATTTACCTTCGTTATTACAAAGTGTTTTTTTCAATTACACCAAAAGTATTTCATCAATTACACCAATAGTATATATTAATTACACCAATTACACATAAGTTGCGAAATTCATGGATTTTGATACACACAGAACATAAAGTATATTCCTCAATCTTTTGAATGACGTCACGTTTGAAATATTTCTAATGTGTTGTACATGTAGGTACTGTTACCGTTAATTATTTTATAAATAATTACAATTATGGGTGTGATATATAAATAATTTTAAAATAGTAAATAACAAGAAATATAAAAATAATTTGGACAACATAGCCAGCGTAAGTTTGTCGGTGTTAATGTTTGCGTGTGATTGATAGGCCGCCATGTTATTTTCTAACATTAAATGTAATTGTTTGCTTTATCCACGAATTTTAGCATTTTCGTGAATTGTGGCACTGTTTGTCCACCATACCTACCACTGAACTACTTTCATATACAAATTATTTGATCTATTTATACATTTTGTAAAACAATTGTTTATTGCATTTTAATAATTTTCGCAACATTCCGAATGGACCATGAATAAAGCAACAAACTTTTCTTTTCAATCAAGATAGCAAACACTTTTGACTTTAGTGCATGCAAGATGATGATATAACAAGTGTTCTTTTAATTTGTTGTCAAATCTTAATGTGTGTTTTTTTTTTTTTGCAAACTGTGTTCTCTTGATATATGAAATGAATTTGTAAATCGAGTATTATCTTAAAGCTTTACAGTCTCACTTACATCCTCGGCAGAGCCCCGGTAGACGTCCGGGCTCAACGGTGATCCGGGAACGACCGGGGTACGACCGGGAACAACCGGAGTACATCCGTAACTCTGCCGGCAACGTCCTGGATGACCCGGGATGATCCGGGAACATCCGGCATTCGACCCCGGATGGAATAAAATATTTAATATCACCGGGTGGTCCGGGATGATCCGGGAAGGTATAGCATTGATCTTCTTGCCGGCTTCATCCTTAGCTCTTGCCGGGAACGAACCACGGGGTTTATACCGGGGAAGCACCGTAGCTCTGCCGGCACAAACCGGGGATGATCCGGGGTTATGATAAGCCGGTTAGAAGCTTACGGACTAGAGCTACGTAGAGCCCGGAAAATGCCGGCAGAGCCCGCAACATACATGCAGAGCCCCGGATGATAAAGGTAGAGCTACGGTTGATCCCGGTAGAGCCCCGGCAAAGCCCGGATCATTTCAAAAGAATAACGACAATTGCGATGATTGCAACTTGCTGGTATTAAAACCCTCCATTTCCCTTCTATCCAGTATGGCATGAGGATTTTTCAGAAAATCATCATGAATTATCTATTCTAGAACATAGATATGTTATATTAAATAAAAAAAATATGTATCAATGTTATCATTTTCGGGGCTTTTTTAAATCCCCCGGGGGTTTCCCGGGGCTCTGCCTGGAGGGCCCAGGGCTTTTGCCGGGCCCCTGCCTGGATGCCCGGCCCTCTCCCGGGGTCAACCGGGGGCCTTTTTCCGGCGTCATCCAGGAACGTTTGGGGGAAGCCCGCATGAACCGAAAGCTGAAACCTGGGCTTTTCCTGGATGGCCCGGGAAAGCGAAATTTTGGGAGGGTTTTATTTTGGGAGCTCCCGGGAAAGTCCCCGGGGAAAAGTTGACCGCAACAAAATTTCACCCCGGGTTTCGTCCCGGGAAATCATCCCGGTAACTTCCCGGGGATGATCCGGGGCTTCCCGGGATTTAAGTGAGACCGGGGTTTTAAAAGGGAAAAACACTAATTACTTGGACAAAGTTTTTAATGGGGTTATCAACCCAAAACCCCCTTTTTTTGGGAGGGAAATGCCCCCTTAATAAAATCATACCGTGTCCTCAATCAGTAAAGAGGAAAGATTATCTCAAAACTCATTTACAAGAATGCTTACTTGTAAAGTTATATAAAATCTTTTCGCTACTGTTGAATCCATCCACTTGTGTAAGCACAACTATTTTAATTTTGTTCCAGGCCCGTTAAATTTATCCCAAAAAACGCCCAAGAAATCATTTTTAGACTTTACTACAGGGGGACCCAGGTTTTGAAATCGGGTTTGGGAAAGGATCAAAAAAAATTTAAAATTTCCAAAACTGTAAAATTTATTCCCGGTTCACTGTAAATTTTTCTGTCAAAACTGTTTTTTTTTAATCCCCAAATGGGAAACTATTACATCGGAAGTTTGGAACTGAAATAAAAAAGGTGTTAATGGGCTTTACCTTTTTTAAGACAGTGGGTTTTTATAAAAAATTTTGCGTAAAATTCTTAAATTTTTAAACACTTAAAAAAAAACGTTAACCCGGGTACCCCAAATTTTTTTGGACACAAAAAAGAAACCCTTTTGTTTTAGAAATGCCCCGGACAAAATCAAAAGTTTTAATTTTCCAAAAAAGGCGCAGGTTACTTTCTTTGCGCAGCAAATTTTCCCAACCCATCATCTCCCTACAAGGTTTTTTGTTCACTTTTTATATGTCAAGAAAAAAAGAAAAACAAACCCAAAAGGGAAAAACCTAAAACAGGAAGGGTGAAAAGGGCGCTAAACACCCACACATACGCAATGAGACTATTTTCCCAAAGGTTTTTATGTTGTCCCTTTTTGGTTTTCAGTTTTAGCCCCGACAAAAAACCCACGACGGAGGGACAAAGGGCGACTATATCTAT